CTCTTGCGTTGTCTTGAGAATATACGATACGACCATTTGCAAGGATTTGATATCCAGCAACTGCATAGAAAGCGTCATCGAAACCAATCCAAAATCCTGGTGGGTTTGTTTTATTGGAACCTGAACCAATTTCTTTATCTACAATAAATTGACCTTCCATTTTATACGTAATGAATGTATTGTAAAGGTCCAACATATTTTCACCAGGAGGTGAGAGATTGAATGTTACCCATGTGTTATCTTTAGCAGTTCCAGGTTGTGATGGAATCTTTGCGTCAGAATATTTTCTATTAGTGTCACCAATTTGAACTGCATTGTCTATGATATCGAAATATGAGCGAATCTGATGAATATGCTCTGCTGGAGTAAATTCGTTTAGCTGTTCGTTCTGCATGTATTTACTTCAGATAAAAATATCTATTTACTTCATTATTCTCACTCTTCTTCTTGGCATTCGTGGTGGAAGTTGTTTCTTGACATTTTCAATGAACTGTACATTCTCTTTTGTCTCAACTTCTTTCACTGGTGGGTCAGGGTTCTTTGACTCGGTTTGCTTTTCAATGAAATTCACGAACTTTGCAATAAGCTCTTGGTTCGTTATTGAAAGTACATCTGGCTTCTTTTCTTCTTGTTCTTTTGGTGGCTCAGTTTGAACAGAAGGTTTTATATGGGCTTCACCCTCGGTGCCATGCACCTTAATGTTGTCGCTCTCTGCATTCGCTAATGGAACCTTTCTTTTTCTTACATATATTTTACCATCTTTACTCTGACTTACATAATAGAAAGGATGTTGTATTCCTCTGCGTCATTTAATATAATAGACTCTCGTTCTGATTTTGACAAGCTCATTTTACATTGGTTAAAGTTTCAATTTTGTTTTTTATCTGCAGTCAAATGACTCAGACAAGTCATACGGACAAGACCCAAGGGGTCATAGATGTTGAAGCATTGAAGAAAGAAATTCGTGAGCAAATTTTATCCGAACTGAAGGAACAAAAACAAGAACAAAAGCCAGAGAAACCAAAGAGAAAGTTAAGTGAAAAACAACTTGCTGCATTAGCTGCTGGAAGACAGAAGAACCCACGTTTGCTGGCGAAGAAAGCTAGAGAAGAAGCAAAAGCAAAGGAAGAACAAAAAGCTAAAGAAGCTGAAGAAGAAGAAAGAGTAAATGGTTTATTTTTATCGGAACTAAATGTATAGACAAATACCTTTATCTGTTGCGTTCAGTAGTGAAAACCCTGACGTCAAAATAAAGGGGAACAGAGTAACGTTTAAGTTTCCAACAGACTGGATTGTGAACATAAATGAAGAGAAGTACATTGGCATAACATCTATGTATATAACACGTGCTTTCAGAAAGGTTGAATTTATACTTCAAGTCGAGATAGAAAATGACGAACAGTCTTTAAGTGCTCAAAACATTCACATGTACAGGTACTTCAATGATAGTACGACGTTAGAAGACTGTATAATTACATTTTACGAAAATTTTCAAAAGAAGTTCAACATGGATTTAGAAATATTAAAACCTTTACGTGATTTTCTTGCAAAACTGAAAGAAGAAGGAATTGTAGAAAGATTAATAGCTTTTCATTACGAGTTCGTGTCAATTCATAATATTCTCACCATTCAATGAATTAGCTGAAAAGAAAGAAAATCCATTACATATAAAATTTCAAATCTCTGAACCAAGTGATGATTTCAAAAGTGTATTCAATTATGATGCAATGCTTCCGAGGAAAAATGATTTTTCAGAAATTAGATTTCCAGGTATTTGGGATAGAAAGCAAGCAATACTTTACTCTAATATAGCCAAAGGCGTTGAAAATGAGTTCATTGGTCATACAAGAAATTCACCACTGCCAAATCCTAAATATTACAAGCTTACTGGCTTCAATCGTGAGTTTTGGATAGACATGTACTCCACTCATGACCATAAAGCACCTGTTTTGCTACCTCCAGATGGGAAAGATTGTTTATACATTGAAGCACAATTGTTAAACTCTACAATAGCTGTATTGTAAATGACCACATGGGCTTCGCCCTTGCCGCTAGCGGCTTATTTTTATCACGAATGACCTCATTGCTGACAAAAATAAATGACCTCAGAACTTCAACTTACGAATAAAGCTTGTTTTAGTCGTTATTGAGAAGTTAAACTTCTCTTCAAAGCAAGGACTAGAAGACTTACATAAGTCAAATCCAATCTCTTGACCATCATGAAGTGCTTTGTAAAGTTTCATTAAACTGAACTCAGAGTCTTTGTCATATGTTCCAACAGGTATGTGAATGTTCTTATCTTCATTGTAATAGCATTGTATAGCTTCAGGAAACATTTCATTAGCTGTTAAAGCAAGAACGTCTTGTTTTACACCTTTACAACGTGCATGGAATGCAACTTCATTTAAATCGTTCGTGAGTAAGTCTATGTAAGTCTTCTTTCCACAAAATATTGACTTGTATGCTAAACTTTGTTTTCCAGGTGTTATTTCTGCGAAGTCAGAATGGAACTGACCTAATGTTTTACCAATAAGTTCTCTACCGTATCTCTTCTGAAATTCCTGAGCTAACAGTGGGATGTCTTCATTGAAAATATGCATGCTATTGCAGTCCTGGTAAAATATTTGAAGACCCATGTCCTCAGCAGTACAGAATACTTCATTCATGATACGTTTCGACATAGATAAGATATTAACACCAAGTGGACAGAAGTTAAAGTGTCTACAAATGTTTTTTGTTAGTTTGAATATAGTCTTATCGGAACCATCCAAACCTTCGAACTTCACTATATGGTTGTAGTTTCTGATGGCATATCTTATAGCATCTTTGTCATCTACTATGGTTATTTTTGACTCAATAGGAGATAGAATGGTTTTGCCATAGATACTGTTCAGAATGAGTTTTATAATTTCTTGTAATGGGTTTTCTTCTTTCTTATACTTTAACCTTAACTCAAACAACTTCTTTACTTCATCTCTTATTCTCATATCTCTGTTTCCATCGTAATAGTATCCTTGCAACACTTCACATTTGACACCTTGATATTTTATAAGGTCCTGTAATGTTATATGGTCAACATACATGAGACAGCAAGTGTTTGAACTTCTGGGAACGTTAAGTTCTGGATTTAGTTCAGGGTCGCAAACTATTAAAGGAAAATGTCTGGGTATACCAATCTCTGTTATCTTAATGAGAACAAAGAAGCCTGACATAAACTTTTCACCAATGGCTTCCTTTTGGTCGTCATCGAATAAATGTCTCATGAGATACTCTGTGCTTAACATCTCATCCTTCAATACTTTTGGAATTCCTTCTAAAGTATAAATCTTGCTATAGCGGATGGATATAATGAAACAGCGTCGAAGTCAGCAATGAGTTTCTTTTTGCTCTTTTGTTTAATGTTATCTGACAACATACATCGTCCACCTTGAATGCATCTCGAAATAAATTCTCTTGGTTTATTTGAGAGGTCATAAAGATTTCCATTCGGGAAGTATACTCTGTTCTCAAACAATTTGTTAGCAATAGAACAAATACTAACGTAGTCATAAACGTTTAAATCAAACTCTTTCAATAAGTCATTGCGGAACTTTACAAAACCTTCTCTTAAAATTCTTACATCTTGTTTGCAGTAAAACGTGCTATATTTTTCTAAGTCGAAGTGGTTCTCATCTATTCTGCAACCTTTGATGGAATCTATGTTCTTCATGAATGTATCTGCATCCTTGACAAACTTACAGCTTCAGAAATGACACCAGTTCTGTTGTCATTTGCTAACAAAGTACTGCTGTAGTAGTTGTATGGAAATACTTCTTTCGGTCCTGTTTGTAAGTTAAACATAGCAGGAAATAGTTTAAGTTTCTTATTTATAACACTGTAAGAGTCTTTTATAATAATTGCCCGTCCTTTATATAAACCAGTTATTTGCATTGTTCGTGAACCTTTAATGATGGGAGTTCCTTTCACTTCTGTCATGTGTCTTAAGATAAAGTTTATGTCATAGCTGAGGTTATGGAAATATATTAAACTCTTGTCAGGAAGTCGTTCCAAAAATTCTGTTGCACAGTTTTGACCCCAAATGCTTTGACTCACTGAACCATCTTCACTGTCATAACATATGTTAAACGCTTTATGAAAGCCGTCTGTGCTACACTCAAAGTCAGCAAAGAAAACGTGCTCAGGAATGAATTTACATTTAGCTTTATTTACTTCTTTTGACTCTGCTTTCTTCTTCAGTTGTACACAATACTTTGGAGCATATGTCAAATCTTTAAATGGTGCAAGGTTCTGTTTATATAAGTCAGTCGTATATGTGAAAAGTTCTCCATAAGAAATAGGTTCGAAATATTTGCACTCCCACAATGTTTTCATAACATCCCATAACGGTGTTGTTCTATCATAACGAACTACATATTTATCTTCTCTCTTTGTATAAATCTTCATCTGTTTCTCAATGTTCATTCCACCACAAGCTTTGAGAATTTCTTTATAGTTGCGAATGAAGTATGTTGTCATTGGAAGTCTTTCATTTAGCATGTAGTGGTCTTCAACAAGAAGTAAGTCAATAGTTCGAACAGTTTCACATTCTTTTGGTATATATCTCTTTATTTCATTATGTCTTGAGTCATTGAAATAACCAATGGTAACATTGAATGCTATACCTGTTGAATCGGAAATTTCTTGTACTTTACTTTGTGGAAAGTCTTTAACACGAATGACTTCTCTCATGTGGTCAATAGTTTCTTCATCTACTCCAGCCTGAATGCAAGCATAAACGAAACAATTGTCTTCTGTCATAAGTGCTGCAGTTCTTTTGTTCAGTTCATTGAAGATTTGGTAGCGTTCAAGATTTATAGGTAATGTGCAAAGATACTTCCAGAACTGACCGCTTCTCTTCTTATAAAACTTCTTTTCACCATTATCTTTCCAAAAGCTTTCTATAAGTGCTGGGTTTCCTGTTTGCTTAAGAGCTTCCAAAATGGCTTTCTGGTCATTTGTCAGTGTGCTTTCATCTCTATATGGTCTCTTTTTTGGTTTGCCTTTCTTTACATCTGACATCGTTAAGCCTTCATATTCTGTTAAATCATACATCTTTATTTCAGTAAGATTCTTTATGTTTGTCAAGAAGAAGTCATAGTGCATTTCAACAATACCTGCGGCATTTGCTTCTATCTCTGATATAAAGTTCTCCTTCAAGAGCTGATGTAGTAATGTTCCAATATTATTGAGGTTTAACGTAGAACATTCATACTTTCCACCAAGTTTATAACATACCATCCATCTCTGTTGTGAGTTTATTTTAATTTTCTCTAAGAGTCTCATGAAAACCTTACCGAAATGTTTGTGTAAATATTCTCTGTTTGGTTCATCTAAAGCTTCGATGTTAAAGTCAATGAGTCTATTGCCTGACTTCACATTTCTCTTCCTATTCTCTTCATCTTTCTTTAACCATCTCTCACCTTCTTTTGGTTTGTCGTCAATGGAACGAATGACATCATTAGCTTTGCGAACTTGTTCTATAGCACTTTTAAACATCTCTCTTCTCTGTTGTTTCAGTGTGTCGTCTCTTCTTCTTGTTTCACCAACGTTTGCATTTGTTATGTCAAACATTTCACGCCTTACTTCATGTGGTACAGCTCTTCTTGTTTCACCAACGTTTGAGTTCGTAAGTTCAAACATCTCTTGACGAACGTCATGAGAAAGAGCTTTACGAGTATGACCAACGTTTGCATTTGTTATGTCATACATTTCACGCCTTACTTCATGTGGTACTGAACGTCTATGATATAAGTCAATAGCAACGTCATTTAAAGGAAATGTTCTTGCATGGACTTCGTCCTCGCCGCGTTGCGACTTTATGAACTCATGAATTCTATCATAAGTTATTTCACCATTGTAGTCTTTAATGAAGTCAGCGAGTGATTTTTTGTTTGTCGCGTAATGTTTTGCAACATCTATGTTAGCTTCTGTAAGAAGTTGTTTTATTTCCGAGTGTTCTAACTTAGACAACTTCCGATACATCTTTAGTAGGAAATAAAAAAATATTTTTTAAAAAAATTAGATTACATTTTTAAGTTATTTTTCAAAATAATTTAATATTTTTATTTTAATGAAACACATGCAAGATTGCAAGTTCTTTTCATACAATGCTCTCGCTACTGCCATCAAGAATGAGTTCAATGGTGCTTCAAACGTTAATGTTATCTTTAACAAGAAGTTTGTGAAAGAATCTAAGTTTGGTCAGTATGTCAGACCATTAGCTATCGTCATTGACCGCAAACGTTATACTTCACAAGAGTTAGCAGTAGTTTTGAAACAAAAGGGTTTCTTTGTGAATGTAAAAGATACTCATTATACTGTTATAAAGAACTCCAACGTTGACTTCTTCAGTATTGCTTTAAATCTTTCCGAACAGAAAGAATATAAGAAGTGTGAAACATCTGTGAAATATTATCCTTCATCTCTGAAGACAATAACGAACAAAGATGTCATACAAAAGTTCTTACCAAAAGTTGAAGAAGCTTCAATTGACATTGACGAAGGAAGTGAAATGGTTGAAGAAATTGACACTGACGTTATTTGAACAAAAATATATTTTTGAATAACTGAAAGTGTCACCATGTCACCATGTCACCAGGTTAATTAACTTCATTAAAAAATGATGACAACATGACATTTTGACAACACAGCAGGATTAATGCAAAAATAAATTCCAATCATACTTTATACTACCTCATTTACAGGTATTTCATCGTCAGTAAATGAATCCTCATTATCGTTTGGTTCAACCTGTTTATATAATCCTTTCATTTCTTCTTTCAAAACATAACACCACGTCTGTTTACCGTCTATTCTTCTCTGTTTCCTATCACATTTATCCTTAATGCTCATTTGAAAGTTTTTGTCTTTCATGTCTGATGGTTTGCAGAATAGAGCATTTTTACACGTCATACCTGCACACAATTCATCATAATGTGTATTTATCCATTCATCTAAAGGATTTGTTGATAATTCTATTAAATCTTGTTTGGCTTCAGTCATCGGAATGATTCGTACATTAAATGATGAAAGGTCATATTGCATAAAATACGTCAGTAAATTATCATAAAATTCCTTAGTGCATGAATCCATTAAATTCTTGAAGTAATCAAATTGACCTTTAAATTTACCATTAACTCTTAAAACTACGTATCTTCTGTCTCCAACTTCAATTTTGACAGGGTAAACGTTATTAGTTACCAAAATGAAATTGGCAACATTCTGAGCAGTTCTTCTGGGTTGATTCTTTTCATTAATTCTAATCTCATTATCCGTAATAATTGATTTCAAAGCGTTGAAGTTTGCAAGTCTGTCTTCACCAACATTCTTGAGTTCATTAAGTACAAGAAACATTTTATTCTCAACTACTGAATTGAAATTACCCGTTAGCTCACTTATTTCAGTAATGTTTTTACATGAATAACCAGCGAGAAGTTCAGAAATAATGTCTGTAAATCTGTTTTTACCTGTTCCCTGAAGTCCTTTCAAAATAATTGCTGTTTCATTCTTGATTCCAGGATGCTGAATCATTGATGCAATCCAGCCGAGTAGATATTTATACACTTCATCGTTATTATCACAAATGGCTTCTTTAATGAAATCCATAAACATCTCAATTTTTGAGTAATCAGGCTTTTCAAGAATGTTGTATTTATAACCCTGAAACGTTGAGAAAACATCTGGAGAATCAGATTTAAAGCTAACACCCTTAACAGTTAATGAGGATAATTGATTTAGTAGTACATCCCATGCTGTTATGGTTTTACCTTCTTCTTTAAATAATTTAATCATTTTGAGTGACTCTTTCATGTTTGATTGAAGAACGAATGATATTTGATTCATTTTGTCGTGGATATTATAGTCCTTTTGAATGAAGTATTTGTTTCCACAATCTACAAAACGGATTACATGTGATAAATCCTCAATTACTTCAGAACTGTTTTTATACTGATGATTTTCAGCCTTGCGTCTAATATCTGTTATCAAGAATGAATCATCAAGTTTTATATCAAATGTTATTTTTGGCTTACGTAATAAAGGTAAAACGTATTCATCATAATATTCCTTTTGATATAGTTTTAGAATCTTCACTAAAACAAATGGAGAAGTCATTAAATGTGCATATCTACTACGTGCTTTTTCAAAATTACTTTTAGCATTTTCAGTTAAATTGCAGAAGTTATAAACGTTATCGTAGGCTTCATTAATTAAATGATTAGGTAACGAATTAATTGCTTGAAACAGTGTGAACAATGTTATTTCTTTTTCTAAATTCATGTTTCCACTGTCATTATGTACTTCAAAATCACTTATACCATCAACTATGCTCTGGGCAAGTTTATCGTCGATGTTTACATCTTTGTTTTCATTCATTATACTCTTTATTTCTTCGCTCTTCTGTTCAACTCTTACCTTAATATTCAAATCATTTAATACATCATTCACTGTTCTAGTTAATGTTGAATCATAACTTCCACGAATGAATGAGTATGTATTGATTGGTTCTGTTGCATTCTTGCGAACTCTTGAATCAGCCATAACCACTAATGAACGCTTTGAATCATCCATTGAAGTCATTATATCAATATCATAATCATTGCAGGAATAACATTTAATCATTCTGTTCGAAACTGAATAGAAGAAATTAGTGTTGCAATAAATGTGAAGACCTCCCGAAGCGGTTTTAACGATAACATCTTTATCCGAAAGTTTTGATAAAATGTCTTTTCTAACTGTTTCTTTAAGTTCATCATTGTAAGATTTATTGATATCAACATCAATAATAGTTAAATTTTGAATTTTATTTACTAATAAAGCCATACCAGTTTTCCTTCCTCTTCCTCCATCATGTTTGAGGTAGTTATGTAAATCAATCTTATTTTCACCAATTCTTTCGTTGAGGGTTTTAGTTTCTGCCACAACTAATTCCTCAGCTAATGAATCAATAACTTTTTCATCAGAAACGATATAGTTGTTGTTGTTCGTTGCTGTCATTTATATAGGAATAAAAAAATAAAAATAATTTTAAAACTAACTTTATTTTTGTACTGCATCAAATTTCCTTTGTTGCTGTTGTCAAAATGTCATGTTGTCATCATTTTTTAAAGAAGTTAATTAACCTGGTGACATGGTGACATGGTGACACCTTCAGTTCTTCAAAAATAATTTTCGTAAATGTTATCAAAATGTCATGTTGTCATCATTTTTTAAAGAAGTTAATTAACCTGGTGACATGGTGACATGGTGACACTGAAAAAATTCATTATTTTTGTTCATGGGCTATGCCCCGCCGCTTCGGTCTGAAAGACCTTCAGGACTCAAAGAGTCCGTTTGCGTCTTTATGTTAAAATAAATGGTACCATTAATAATTTCATGATTGTTCTCATTCATGTCTGATTTACATCCAACGAAAAAGTTTAGAATAATTTTCTTATTCTTTCTGGCATATTTTTGTCTTTCCAGTACTCCCGCTCTAATGGACCCAGATGTGTTGGCTTTGACTCTCTCAAGTTCTTAGATGGTATAACATCTTCAACGCCTCCTTCATATCTTACTTTATAAGTGTCATCGTTTATGTTATAGTCAAGTATTTCAATAACCACTCCTCGCTTTGCTTCGTCAATGGTTTCAGCAAGTTTGCCATTACTACTTTCGACTAATTTATGACGAGGATAAAACGCAATAGAGTCGTCGGCAGCTTTTATAAGATATCCATTACCTTGCGTAGAGTCTACGATATAATAATTTCGACTTAACCTTAAACGTTTCTTTGTCAACGGTTTGTCGTCAAGAACTACACGAACTTTTGTACCAGGAATGAGTGTAAATTGTTTTGAATTTCTGATATTTTGTGTTTGGCTTCGTTTCTTTTGTATATACTTTTCTTCTTGTTGTTGTGTCATTGAATTTGGTGTATGTCCTGTTGTAGAATGTGTTGAGGAATTATATACTTCGAGAAAATGTTTCATTGTTTCTTCGGTAAAATCTCGCTCTTGGTTTAAATCTCTGAGCGTTCTTATGAAGCGGTTAATGATACCGAGTATGTTATGGTTATGGTCTTCAGTAGTGTAGTGAGTTATGTTATGCTTAATGAGAAATTCTGTGATTTCGTTGCTGAGGTATGCACTGTCTTGGTCTGATGTTAAAGTACTTGGGTTATGTTCTGCTACAAACTTTTGTAAAACTCTTAACACTTCACGAGTTCCTTTGTTCCTCATTGGATATGCATATGCTTTACGAGTGTTAACATTTATGAAGATGAGGAATGGTTTATGTCCTCCTTTTCTGCTTTGAATGAGAGTGTCAAATTGGTATGCGTCAGGAGTGTTGGAGTAAATTGGTAAAAAGTAGTCGTAAGGATTTATTTTTGTTTGATGTACAACATTTTTGTTAAAGAACCTTTTCACTTCAGCTCTGTTAGTAAATCCCGAACTCTTTGCAGCTTCATTGAATTTCTTAAAAGACCTCCATGGATGTTGTTCGAATACTTCTTTCAAGCTCATTTAAGTAAAAATAAAGAGTTTAACCAACTCGTATCCAAGCGTGCATTGTTATATAAGGAGGCATATAATCTTTTCCATTACCTGCTGGGTCTGTAATACCAGCTACAACATGTGTATGATTTCCTGCAGTTCCACAGAAAATACCTGTGCTAACATCTTTGGGGTCATCTGAGATATCATATCTGTTCATTCCCTGTCTATTCGAACCCGCTGCAAGATTTATATAACCTCTTTTTGTTATTGAATGTGAATGGTTTCCTTCCACAGATGTTCTTCCACTGAACCTATGCATATGTGAAGGAAGGTTTTCAATACCTATTTTCTTTGAACCTCCCATCTTCATTGACTGCGTATTAGTGTAGAATGGAAAACTGTCAACTATTTCATACCATCTACCACCAAATAAAGTGTTTGGATTTATTGGATTCATAGACGTATAAACAGCTCCTATAGGATATATTAAATCATATATACTCATAACTCTATAAACATATTCTAAAGAACTTATGTCATTAAATACCATTTGGAATGTATCTCCCGGATGAAATGTTGCATTTGTTCCACTTTTATAATGTAATGTTAGTTCAATAGAATTATCCAAGAAAAATTCAAAAGTATCTGGTTGAAGACCTCTAACAAATTCAAATGGAGTTGCTGGTTCGCCATTTATAATTTCTGTTGTAAATGTCATTGTATCTGGTTTCGAAAATTTCTTTGTTAGTTCTGCATCCACATAAGTTTTGTCAGCTTTCTTATCTAACATTGCTGGTAGTTCATGTGCTTCAAAGTTTCTGGCATGACCTTCAATGTTCCTGCAACTGTTATCTAAACTGTTAAGCGTGTCTTTTACGCTAGTGCTTGGATTCTCTAAAGGTGCGCTTGAACCTAAAGTATAGTTCAATATTATGTCATCAGCTCTAACAGTAGTGAAGGATTCATGTGTATGGTTTTTGTCTGCTTTACTGTCTAAAGAAGTTTGAAGTTCATTTATATCGGAGATATTGTGTTTATGAGATTTCAAAACTTTGTTCGTTGCGTCAAGTTCATTTTTGTCAGCTTTACTTTTAATAGCATCTTCAAAAGTTATTTTTGCCTTAACTCTTAACATAAATCTTGGTTCAACTAATACACCGTTAACAAAGAAGTATGAAGCATAAATTTCAGCGTTATAACCAAATGTTTGTGGTGCTATACCTGTGTCATACTGTACAGTACAGTGTATGTCATAACCTTTAGCACGAATGAATTTATATCTTCTTTCATTAACATTTTTCGTCTTCACTTCTTCATCCTGTGTTAAATATCCATGATAGTCCGTTATAATCTGTTCGTCTGAACTTATATAATGAACATGGTTCTTGTCCGCTTTACTATTTAATGTAGCTTGAAGTTCATTTATATCGGAGATATTGTGTTTATGTTCTTTATCTGCTTTTTCGGCTAATTTCTCTTCTATCTCATTTATTTCAAGTTCATGCCTACCACCACCTCCCGAAGAAGTATTTTTCTTCAGCTCTTGAAGAACGTCCACTTCGCCATCTTTGGTGTCAATAATGAGACTTTGTGTTAAAACCTTTCCTGTCTTAATGGATGTTTGTAAAACTTCTTCTTCACCGTGTTCGGGGTCATGGTCGTCATCATATCTTGTGAAATCAGAGATGTTGTCATACATTAAGCATATCTGTCTCAAAAGTTCTGCTATTTGAAACTGGAACGAAAGATATACAGAACTTTCATCATCTCCTAAAGTCAAGTCTGCTTTCTTAAGTATTTCTTGAATGTATGCAATGAGAACAGAGTACCTTGGAAAATATTCGAACAATATTTCATTAGCTGTTGGTTTTGGTGGTTCTTCTGGAGTTTCTGTTGTTTCAGTTCCTTCTGTAGGTTCTGTTGGAGTTTCTGCATCTCTTGACTTCAATGCTCTTGCTCTCAAAGACCTAAATGTTAGAGCACCAAGTTTTACAAAGGACTTTATAAATACTTTAATAGTTCCTGGTAAGTTATTGTTAGCATTAAGTAAGTTCCTTATGCTTCCATCATGTACGTCCATAGCACTATGTAAAAAATCTATACTTTTCTTGTAGTCAGCAATAGACTGACTGTGATTTTTTAAAGATTTGTCAATACCTTTAAGCCAATCTTCATGCATGTCTGATACTGAGGCAAGAATATCATTTGCTTCCTTTAGTGTATTTTGTGCTTCTCGTAAAGTATCCAATCCCGTACGTGCATTGTTTGCTATACGTCTTACAGTATCTATTTGACTCCTTGTTTCTTGCATCCAACCAGATAAAGTTTTAATAGTATCCGAACCATTTGAAATGAAGTTCAAAGCATTTTTAACGTCATCTAAAACTTCTTCACCAAGTACTGCCCATATCTTTCCGATTTGGTATTGAAGAACTCCATATGAAGCAGCTGTTAAACCAGTATTTATAAGGTTCCATATCCATGATTTAGCAGTTTTTCCATCCTTTCCATCTTCACCATCCAAACCGTTTTCGCCTTGAGGTCCTTGTATTCCTTGTATTCCTTGTGGTCCTTGTATTCCTTGTATTCGTTATAATATTCTAATGTCATAAGGTGTACATCATTACTGCTACCAGCAACGCCGAGAATTTGTTTCTCATTCATGACTAAATTCTTTAGGCATTTAATGTTGTCGTCAAATCGAAAGCTCTTTAACAATTCAATGAGAACATTCAGTACTTTCACTAATGAGGCATCTACTGTTGAATTTATATATTGCACCGTTCCATCATTTATGATGGGAACCTTGCTTGTTGTAATGAATGGGTCATAAGTGTTAAAAGTATCGAAATCAATGACTTTTTTAGTTTTTCCATCGTCAATGACTAAATCATTGCCTTCAATGGTTAAAGTTGAGTTTTCGTTTACTAGTTCATGTGCTCTTCTTGCTTCATTTGTTTCATACGCATATGCAGCAATAGTCATATTTTAATGAGAATAAAATGTTGTTCTATTTGCAAAGTACAGACCCAAACGAATACGGGACAGTAAAGCTACAAACAAACTTAGGTCTTCAGAATGAAGCGCTTGCTTTCAGAATGGTTGACTTTAATACTATTGCTTCATTCGTTATAGCTGACGAAACAGATTTCATGGAGCTTGAAATAGATGGAAAGAAGCATGAAATAAGATTTCACAATAATGTAGAATATAAGATGGAAACATTAGCTGGAGTGTTAAATGCTCTCATAAATACTACAATAAACAAGGATAACGAAGAAAACTTAATGAATGTTAAACTTATTGCAGGAGTTTTGAAGTTCAGTTATGCGAAGGAGTTTAAGATAACACGAATGAGTCATAGAGTTCAATTGCTTCTGGGAGCATACCATATGACATTTCCTTTGAAAAGTGTTGACAAAACGATTGAGATGAAATCCGTTCCATACGTATGTTATGGCAATTGTTTGTACATTGAGTCTAAAATAGCTAATGTCACAGGTATTTCAGGAGTTAATAGTAAAGGTTCAGTAGAATATAAGTCTTTCTGTTATGAAGTAAATTCAATGTTCATTCCAAACGTTCCTGTCATAGTAACTCATTTAGGTAAATGGGTTCACATTAGTCCTCATAATTTGAAAGACATGCAATTCAGACTAGTTGACTTTCAAGGCGAGCCCGTAGTACTGAAGGCACCAGTGCGAATGACTGTTGAAGTTGACTTTTTAGAAAATATTAAATGCAACGGCTTACAAGAGAACTCAGAGCTAAAAATATAAAGTATGAATGTTATGTATTAGGTCATGAACTTTGGTTGTTGCTGTTTGATGAAACAAATGAGTTAGTTATGTCAGTCAAGAGAACAGAAAAAGGCGTCAAAGGCGCCGAGCGCAAAGCGCTATATTGTGTTAGTGAAAATTGCACCAAGTCAATAAGATTAGGTTTGCATTATGAAGATGAGTTCAATAGTGTTGAAGAAGTTTTGGACAGATATTACAAATTGCTTTAATTTACTAAAACATATTTCAAACAAAGCTTATAGTAAGTAGATAGTTTTGTATACTCGTTCGAATATTTATACTTAAACTCAACTCCTGGAGTACCTGGTGTTTCAATGATGCGGATGTTACCTATTTTCATGAATATTGGAGTTTGACCACAGCATTCGATTTCAGGGTCGAGATAGTCAATGACACATTGCTTTCCTGTTATTTGTGATATAATATTTTCAAGGTCCTCCTTTGTTAGAATTATTTGGTTCTTACTTATAAGATTTGTCAAAAGCTTCTTATCGTCTTTGAGTAAAATTGTTTGATATAACTGAAGAAGGTAATGGTCTACGTTATCTGAAGGATTTGTTTGAACATTTGTGTAAGGATTGTCGTTGACTTCTCTTGAAAGAACTTGGTCCAGTGGTGGATACTCTAACTTAACATCTGATGTAGCGTTAGCGTTTGAAGCTGTGTTTAAATTCACTGATTTCAGCTCTGGTTCTTTTTCTTTCAAACACTCTGAACTATAGTTCTTTATGACAATATTGTTTGTCGTTCGTGAGTCAACATTTGATGTTGGTTCAATTGGAACATTAACGGCACCAGCTAAGATGGATTTGCTTCTCATTTCATATAGAATAAAAACCTTTTATATGTATGAAATGAACAATATACTCGACAAGGGTTTGAATGTAAAGCTAACGAATGAAAATATTGTTGAATTCACTGAGACAGGTGCCGTGTATAAAGATGTAGAACTTCTGAACAAAAGAGCTAAGGGAAGAAGCAGAAACATGAACAAAGGGTGGAAACCTATAAAAATTTATGTCAATGATGGCTCAGGAGGTTACAAACATAAAGTATGCAGAAAGTTATAGAGTTTATGCACTCAAAGGTGAAAAGCCTTCATTTAAGAACAGCTATTCTAACCCATATCCTCAAAAGTTAACGATGGGGAAGTGGATGATATTGAATGACAGCAAAAAATAAACAGAAAATGGTGACAGAGATGCATGGAATTTGTTTACCATCAGTCAATTAAAGCATAAGATTTAAAACAATGTTGGTCGTTCCCATGGAATATTTTTGACTTTAATGGTATTAGTCATGATATGAATCTCAAGGTATGAACGAGGAGAGATGAGAGACTTATATGCTTCCCAATTTCTTCAAAGGTAATGTTATCCTGACTGTTTCCAAATGAGTTCAATGTCATAGCGTGAGAAACCTTGAAAGATAACGAAGTCAGTTATGAGACGTTTTATGTTTAAAGCAAGGAAACGCCATGTTTGCATAAGTATTGCTACAGTTAAATGGTAATGTCTGACTTTAGTAATGATGTTAGCTAATGGTGAGTCTGGTTTTGACACTAAACCTTTTCCGGCGAAGTCGTCACAAACGAGCAGAGTGTTTGAAGGATACTTTTTGAAGGGGTATTTTGAAAGTTTTGATAGAATGTAGTTTGTCAGTCGTTTCATATCGTAAACTCTCTGAGTACTGACGTAAGTGTGTTTGTCAATAATTCTTTCCATCTCTTCTGAAGTCTTTTGCATTCCTGACTGTATGAACTCTACGATGGTATAATATTTTCTCTTACGTCGAATGTAACGTTGAAGAAATTCAATGAGTTCGCTATCTGGAACTTTAACGACAGATGCTTGAACTTTACTCATGAATGTTTTCGCTGTTGAATCCATAGAGTCTGAAGTTGCTGATATAATGATTTGGTCATAATATGAATCTTGACCTAAACGCTCTGTTATGAGTATATGACGAATGAGGTTAAATGTCTTTCCTGACCCCATCTTTCCACAATAGAAATACACACCATTTGAACAGAATTCATAATCTTTGCTGAAAGGAAGAATAAGAGAAGAGTTAAGTTTGTCTGTAGTTTCATTCATGTCTTCATCTACGTCATGTATTAAATGCTTCATTTTATCTCCATTAAAAATGCAAGTCAGAAATATTCAGAACATAGCACCGAGTCTAACTGACAAGAGTATAAAGATATACTATGAACACGTTATGATGAAACCAACCAAAATTCAAGAAAGTCAGTATACTTATGAATATCCAAGACACTGGGTAGAGTATGTAGGAGGTGAGAAAGCTATTGAAATAAGACAAGTTAGAAGTATTCCAGCAGGAAGAACAATATTATTGAAGAACTTTAATGTTTTGAGATATAATGATGAAACAAAGAAGCAAGATAGTTTCCCTGTTGCTGTGTATGTGAACTTAGATACAGGAGATGACATGAAAGTTTTTAACACAAAGCTTCAAACGGTATTGAAAGAACAACTTATAGCAGAAGGACACCCATTACCTTCAGAAGTTACCATAGCATATAATTTTGAAACAAATGCAATAGATTTTAAAATCGTCTCTGCAAAGAAGTCAGGTTTTACATTTAATGAAGCAGATGTATATTCGAATGAAAACTTCAAAGCTATTGCATGGTTAGATAATGACGATTGCTTTAAGAAAATATTTAAATTCAGTGACTCAAAGATGTCAATAGATGACCTTCGTGGAATGTTACCATCGACGTTTACAGTTGAAGGTTCAGCAGGATTGCTTACAAGTTTTTCAATTGGTGGCATTTGGTCTCGTGAAAACATTGTTATAAAATCCAGTATAAGTGAATTTGCTGAAGAATCTATATTATGTCTTTCAAACTACATGTATTCGCCACCGAAGCATTATAGTATAACAAACTTTGTCAGTAAAGTTTAACATAAGACTTGTCGAACCTTCTTCAATGAAAGATGTTGTGCTACCTAAAGATGGAAAGGATGGACTCATTATTGAGATGATTTTAATTGCATATTAAATGAGCTTGTTCATGAAAGTCATTCATGATGAAATAACTGTTGTAGAAGATGTTAGCAATTGTTCAGACATTTTGAAGCGAATAGATGAGATAAGAAAGAAGTTAGATAGACCGCAAAGCGGTGAGGACGAAGCCCGTGAGAATGTTTATGTTTCATTGACTTTCTCCAGTAACGAGAACTTTTATGAGATAATATTGAAGAGAGATGATTTTAATATGGTGTAAATGGTAGCTTGGGCAGCTTTAGGCGCAATGGGAACAAAAGCATTAGCATTTGGAGCAAAAGCACTTGGAGCTTATGACGCAGTAAATAAAATGAGTGGAGGAAGGGTTTCAAAGACATTAGATGCAAATAAAGGAAAGATTGGAGGCTGGTTGCAAAGAAGTTAAGATTAAATAAAATAGGGCTCATAAATAAAGCATCCAATTTGGTTGCGACTGAGTCAGAAAATGCTTTAGGAAAGGACGATGAGTTTGCAAAACACGCAAAAGACTTTAATGACCAGATGAAAGGTGAAAAAATGCATTTAAATAGAGTCGATGGAACTAAAGAAAATGTTTCTTCTCCACCAGTAGTTCTTCCATATGGTCCCTATGGAATGTATGGAAACCCTTACGAAAGACCATTTGACCCATTGACTGGTGGAAGTAATTGGTATCATTATGGACGAAGAAGAAAGACAGTCAAGTTGGAGACGGACGTAAAGAAAGCAACTAAAAAGAAATCAAGGAAGAGAGTTATAAAGCAATGAATTCAAGTGGGTGAAAAACCGGGTGAAAAAAGAGGTGAGATTTCACCACTTCACCTAATTTATTTTTGTGCTATGTTTTCATACGCGTGAAGGTAGTGATATCATTTATTTTTTATTTTATTTTTATTTTATCTTTATGTAAATGACAGAACAAAAGCAACTCATTCGAATTCCACAGTATAACAAACATACATTTAAACATTTATTCTTCCTTCCTGAGCATAACATGTTCTTTCAAATACATCCGAGACCAGTTGACTTTTCATTGACTGTGTATAAAGATAGAAATAGTTATATCATTAAACCATACGATGACGAAGGTAAGTTATGTAAATTGTACGTTAAGAAGTTAGAGAAAGTTTATGGCTTCAAGTATGACTACAATAGGGTTAACACTGATGATGAAGATATTGAGGAAAATTTATGAGAACATTAGTGAAGTCGTTAGTGAGAACGATAGTGAGAACGTTTATTTTTTACATTAGTGAGTTCGTTAGTGAGGTGAAGTGGTTGGCAGCTTTGTAAATATTTAATGTTAAATTAGTGTTGTCGTTTGTGTTGTAAAATATACGTTAGCGGTTTTGTAAAGTGTCAAACCGTTATCTTGGATAAGGTGGAACGCAGTGCCGCCGTACCCAAGATAACCATACTAACTACATTCAAATGCAAATATGAAGATCACGATTTATACACAAGTTCAGAAATGGTTTCGAGTGATTCATTTGTTACAGGTACGATAAAAATTGATATCATCAATTTCCCAATTAGTTCACAAATTCATTTTGATTTTTATGCAATCGATGAATTAGGGACAAAATCAAATATTATTCAATAATTTGTTTTGATTGTTGAAACAAATCCTTCAGAGATATCCATCTATAAAAACAGATCAACATATTTCTTTCCAAATCAGAAAGTTATCATCCATGGACAAGTTAAAACTGATACAAATTTTAAGATATATTGCTCCCAAGACATGAAACGATTTGAGCAAATAACAAGAAATACATCTAAGAATGAATTCTCAAATGATCTCGGAACTCAACAACCAGGTTCGCACAATATCCAATTATATAGTATTGACTCCAATGAATATAGATCAAGTATTGTTAATCATAATTACATTGTTTATCCAAGCATTATTCAAACATGTAATCATTTTAAAAGAAAAAGTCATTTTTCATATTTTACACAAATTTTTATATCTTTAAAACGTTAATAATTCTAGCAAAATAGAAAATATCCGCAAAAACACACACTTTCTATCATTTTTTTATAATAATAAAATGATTATGACAGTTTTCTATCAATTGATCAGCACATTGCTATCGATTTTAGTAGGGATGCGACGGTTTTACGCCATGACCGTTTAAAAATAGAATAATACGCCATTTTTGGGGCCGAATAACAAAACAATATAAAATTATCGCCGTCCCTTTTTTTATTTTATTTTATTTTATTTTTTTATTATTATTATTTTTATTTTTATTTAAAGGTACAGACACTTTTTTTCTGACCGGATTTACGCCATATACTCAAGAGCATAGATTGCATATATACCATATATACTAAATGTGTCGTATGAAGAAAATTGGTCTTGCCAATTCTGTGATATATTAATCTAGAATTTAATTAGAAGATATAAGTTAATAATGCATATGCTAATGCTCTGCATCATTTTTGTAGCTTGAGTAATGCATAAATATATCATTCTTCAAAAGATTCTGTGAAATTTTGTTTCAATTTGTTAACAATAATGAAGTATCAGTAGTTATTTTTACAGAAATTCAATAACATATGGTGAATAACTAATAATAAATCCTAAATTTATGCTTGAAAAACGAGATCAGAAAATATTTCTTTAAAAAATTGATATTATCGTTTTATAGCAATCCTATCGTAATATGCTAATGTGTTGAATCTGATTTCTTAAGTAAAGTAGGCTCAAAAATGCTTTGAATACATGATATTGAATCGAAATACTCATTGTTAAAAGGAATGTATAACTTTTAGAGATAAAATTATAACCGAATCATCAAGTATACTCTAATCATATATAAAAATCTGTCTTTGCTTTAAGTTTAAATTCCAAAAAAATTTCAAAAAATGAAAAATAAAATGAAGAAATACAATTTTTATTACAAAATCCCAAAATTGTGATTTTTTTGGAAAAATGAATGTGTTTTATAATTGATGTTGATGCAAAATATTTCTTTATGTTCCTGAAAAACGTCGATATTTCTTGAATGCAAAATTTAATTTTTAAAAAACTAACAATTTCTTAACTAAAGAAGAACTATTTGTGGTCAAAATCCAAAAACAGATAGATTACCGAAAAAAATAAACATAAAATATTTATATTTATTAAATACAATTATTTCGAAGATACTACTTGAATTTTATGTAACTCAAAAGTAATCTTCTTCTTGTAGGAGTAAAACAAGTTGCAAGTAATAAAAATTCAGAATTTTAATTGCTGGTTGTGCGTTTGCACTAATATTTATTTGATAACTGTATGCCGTTAATTATGATAACAGCTAATTTACCAGTCAACTATTGGGTAATGTCGATTTTTGATGAAATGCAATCCGTTTCTAAAAATTGGCAAGACGGATTTTTTTCATTTTCTACGTACTTATGATATATTTGTATGTGATTCATCCCCATGATTTTCAAAGAGAAAGCGCGGTCTCAAAAATATTTTATAAATTTAATTTTTTATGGTAGAGATTTTCCGATAGGGTTATAAGTGTTTTCGAATTTTAGTAATCTTGGCTGATCAAATGATGAGAAAATTGATAGGTTGCAAAAAATCAAAATATGTTCTTTTTTGCAAAGTTTAGTTCATGCAACAAACATTGCATTCTCTTAAGAGTATGCTAATGCTTTGCTTGCTCTAAAATCTTGGTGATATTCAAAGGGTATTACGAGTTGTGAAGCTAACAAATGCCCTTGATTTTTAGAATTTAAGGTTAAAAGTGTCCGTACCTTTTTTTATTTTTATTTTTTTTTTAATTTTTTTTATTTTTTTTTATTTTTTTTATTTTTTTCCCCTTTCTCTTTTTCAACATTTTAGAAACTCTATTTTTTAATTTCTTTTGGAAATCAATACATTAATAGAAAAACTAGAATATATGATTCATAATCGCTATATATCTGTAATATAAACGCTTTCTGTTGTTGAAGCAATTGAAATTGAATTCGAACAAAACTTATTTTTTCTATTTCTTTGGTTGAAGCAGTTGAAATGGAATTTGTATAAGATAATTTCACTGATTTTATATCTGATGGTTCTTTATATGGTTTACTAAAATCATCAAAATGTTTAGTATATGTTTTAGGTCAAATATAATGTTTTGTTTTCTTAATGAGGAATTGAAATATATATATTAAACATTTTGATGATTTCCGTTGATTGTATTCCTAATGGAAGCAAACTGTTATCACCTGGTTTAATAACAATACGACATGGAGTATAATCTGCTATCAAATCAAATTCTGCAGAAGGAATTAAATCTGGTCCAAATCTTAACTTCGCTTCTACAGGTTTTGGATCAGTAAGATCTGTGTGAAAATATGTTCCAATTCCAACTGTTTCACTTTCGAAAGCTTGATGAGATGAAACAACTCTAATAACTGTAATTTGAATAATTTTTTCTGAAATGAACTGAAAAACTAGAACATATGATTCGTAAACACTATTTATCTGAGAAACAAATACTCCTTTAACAAAATTTTGATTTGGATTTTTTTAATAGAAATTCCAAGGTGTATGCTCTCAACTAAAGCAGATTTATTTGGTTGAAGTATTTGATTTGGAGGAGATTTTTGTTGTTAAAAAAAGTTATCATTGAAATCTCGTTTTTGTTTAATAGGAATTTGTGGAGGATCATATGAATTAGGTGGAGCATAAGGTTTCACTGATGGTATATATCTGATGGCTGTTCAAATTGTTGACCAAACTCATTAAAATCATCAAAATACTTAGAATTTGTTTTAGGTCGCATATGTATTTTTTTTTCGAAATATTATCATTAGCAAATGAGTTGTTCTTAGAATTATCTAAATTCTGCTTCAAGTTCACTAATCCTGTTTCGAGATTCTCTTAATTGAACAACCATCTTGTTGTAGAGATCTAGTATTCGCTGATAATCCTTTGTAACATGATTATATTCTTCTTGAAACTTCATTGCCATTGATGTTTTTGCTTCTGTCATAGATTCTTTTCCTGCAAGTATTTGTTCGAGTTGTGCAACACGTTCTTTCAGATTTTCATTAATTTTCATTGATTTGACGTTCACTTTCAAGTAAATTTTGAGTTTCATGAAGAGAATCTGAATAATGAGTATAAACTTCTCATTCAATTTCAATTTGTTGTCTGTATTCGATTATTTGGCGATTTTCTTTTCTTAAATTTGAATATTCTTTTTCCAATTTCTTAAGGCTCTAGTTCCACATGATTGTTGTATATAGTTAGAACGAGTGGATAATGAGGAGTAAAATATACCATTAGATTGTTTATACATCCACCATGTAAGAAATTTAAATAATATCTGATTTCGAAATTTTCGAATTTAACTATATTATAGTTTGAAAGATGATATATGTTAACTTTTCTATTTGATATATGACAAATAAAGATTTTTTGATAATTGATAATTTGAATTTTATAATTATAGATTTTGAAGCATAATGATATCATAAATGAATAAACATGTGGTTAATTATAACATTTTTATATGATTGGATTAGCTTCTTACCTTGGGATTAAGTTATTGAAAGTAAATAAAGGTCACTTTTATAATAATCAAGTTTAAGGTTCAAATTTTATTTATAAAATCGATTTGATTCAACATATTGGAAAGGAATTTTTTAGTCATTTCTTTTGGAAATTAATAAATTATAACTTATACTATTAAGTCATAAAATTTGTTCAAATTTTTATAATGCTTAAGGTAATGAAATTGTTGTTCAAAAATAGTCCAGCTCTATCGTCAAAAATCCTCTCAATTTGGAAAAAAATAACAAAAATTACAATATTGCAAACCTAATTCATCAATATACCTTTCACAGCTTGGTATACTGATAGTGTCGATAGAAACTATATAATTTTCCTAACAAAGTGACAGAGCGGAACTAAAAGTTTTTTCTTGGATGTTGAGATATCATTCAATTTTTTTGAATATACTTTTGAAAAATTGAATACTTACTTGTCGAAAAACCGTTTTGACAAACAATCTCAACTATAATATAATAGTTCATATTAAATTATATTCATATCAGATTTTACTTTTCATGTCTATTTATCTCATATAGAATTACAAGCTTTTAAAAATGCTAGTTTCGTGATGGTATTGTGAATCTAATTCCTCATTACTCATTTATATATAAAATTAATATAAGACATAATAATAAACATAAATAGCATGCTAACAAAGTGACAGAGCGGAACTAAAAGTTTTTTCTTCTTTGTCAAAATATGTCAATTTTTTCAGGTGGTAATATATACTTTAATAAAAATCGAAAGAAGCTAATGGTATTCAATGATAAAATATATCAAAAGAATATGTAGTAACATGTTTATTAATAATAAAATTATGGATCACTTATTATTAGATTTTGTCAAAAAGTAACTTTTTCATTTTTCTTTGTTGAAAAAATAACTCAATCAGAGAGAAGTAAAAGTCATGTTTACTAATATAAATAATATACTATATTAATATCCTACAACACGACAGAGCCCTTTTGTTTATAGGACGAATAATGCCGTTCAAAGTTGATAATAATGAAATTTACAAATAACGTTCTAGCAATGCTACACCCTACGTCATAATATAATATTATAGCTTATATTACACTAATATAATATCTTTAATTATAAGTCATGAAAACTCTTATTGATTGATATATTCAATTTTAAAAATTGAAAGGGTGGGACTGGAGCCTTAATCATTTTTTGTAATCTGTATAATTGGTCTGTAGATTCCATTTCGCTAACTGATCGAAGACAACTTTCAATATCAATGTCGATAATTTTACTTTTCTTCTGCTTTTTTGAAGAAACATTTGAAACATATTTGTCTTTGTTTCATAACATGAGAAAATGCAGGTAAAGAGTCAATCAAATGTTTAAAAATTGGGTATTATTGAATTTTGTGAAATTATTTTATTTATCGAATTTGCGATCTGAATCATATTGTGAATAATTCTTGTTCGAAACACAAGATTAGTCATTATCTTCAATGCTCTGATTAGTTTTCATTTGTCTTTGTTTGAGGAAAATTTGGAAAATTATTTATTGAATCAGTGATAAAATTGAATATGATGAAATATGAGACATAAAAAGAAAATGATTATGTTGGTAGCCGATTAAATATTGGGAGATGCAAAAATTTTTCATTTGGTTGAATTTTTTTATGTCATTTTCTTTTTCCAAATTATTTTCAATTTTAAATTTTGCTTCACAAAGTCCTGTAGAAAGAAGTGATAATTTGTTGTATAAACTGTTTGTTGGACTTTGTACTTCTACATTATCAGTTGTTTGTCCATCATAATCACTATTAATGATTGTAGCTAAACTTGGCGATGAATATAAATGAAATGTTTGTGTACAATTATTTTTTTTGATTGAACAAGATTCAAATGTAACTGTTGCTGAATGTAAATTAAAACATTTACTAGCATTGTTTCTAATGATATTACATAAATAAAATTGATGTGGACCACTATAACAAATACAAAAGCATTCATAGTATGCTTTGTTATCAATGAAAGATGATTGACTGATGTTGTATCTCTGATCTGAATAAATTTCAAGTGAAACATCATCATAACATTTGTTATTTGTTATGTTATTTCGTGAATAACTAAGATTTCCGTAATATAAATGATTAATTGAATATCCTTTATCTATTGAGTCTCCACAATCAAAGACTGTTGAATCTTCAAAAATGTTTTTGTTGTTTGTATTTGATATAAATGAATATAAAAATACCCCTTTACTATCTGATGTTTGTATAGATTTTGTGGCACATGTTTGATAGATAACACAACTTCCATACCAAGAAAAAACTGTAAAAGATGGAGTTTTTGTGCCATTGAATCCAGAAATAGAAATAAGAAGTTTTGTTTGATCATTGATGCTTATATTGACAACAACTTCTTGAAATCCATTGAATAAACATGTTGTAACATAATAATTTCCTACTTCCGTTGGATTTAATTTTGTATTTTCAGTGTGATTTTCAGTGATATTTGAATTGTCATAAAAATGTGTCCAAGTATCAAGATTTGGACCGGAATCCAAGAATAGTATCAATAAGTGTCTCATTTTCATATAATTCATAAAAATATTCGAAAGAATTAAGTCCGAAATTTCGTTTATCACACAAAAAATAGTCTTCTTTTAATAAGAGCATAATATTATTTAAGGATAAAGATTGTATAATTAAAATTACAATGTCATTATCTTTATCAAGTGATTAAATCCCTTGAAGTTGACAATCAAAACATTTTATGTCACTTTTTTGGTATTTTTTGGAAAAAATTTTGTTGGCATTTTTTTTAAAGGATTACAAGTATCGATGATTTCATTCATATTTTACACTTCAAACTCAATTAGAATACGATTGTAGTCATAATGATAATCTTCTCTGCGCAAGGGTCTCAAACGAATTCTAATAAAAGAGGAGAAGTTTTTAAATGCAAGTACAAAGCAGCATCTTCTAAACACACTTTAACAAACCATGAGAAATATATCGAGTTTAATTAGAAAGAATGAATTTAATTTTAATTTTTCATTGTTTAATAGTTTTTTTTTTTTTTTTCAACAATGATGTATATCTTGATAAACTTTATTGCATTGATATTTTCTCAAAAACAATAGCCAATCATTTTTATTATTGTATATTTTGCCGAAAACAGGAAATTTTTATTTTTTTATCATTTATTGACAAAATTTATTTTTCACACTCTTTCGCTCCTAATGAATTTTCACATTTTCACATAAAATCCTAATGAAACTAATGATGAGTTTAAAAATATTATTTGTGTTTTAAAAAAATATTTCATTGATGATGTCATATGCGGGAGGTGGTATTTTTGGACGTGAATATGAAAAGCAGAAATGATGAGAGCAGAGGAGCGGAGCGATTGGGTCTCAACTGAATGTTTTTTGGTTCACTCTAAAAATACCACGTCACATACTACTTCATTCATATTTAAAATCACTTAAGCAAAGCTTCCTTTGCAATATATTTGCTGTATTTTGAATTATTGTTTTTATGAAATTTCATAATTATCGGTATTGAATGTTTCATAAAAATTATGGTATATAACATGTTTATCTTTCATATGAAAATTTTAAGTTCCAATAAGAAAAATCCATTTCTTTGATATAATGTTCCAGCTATCTTCAGCTGGTCTAAAAAACATTAATGAAACTCAGTTTGTAACTATCAGATTCAATGATTCTGAGTATAAACTTGGGATAATCAGAGCTCAATTCCTTTCAACAAAGATTAAATCAGATACAACAGAATTTATTATACCAATTGCAGAGAAAAACAATAGCTTTTCATATGTTTTGAAGTTGTTGAATGGTGAGAAACTCGAAATTCCCGAAAATGTTAAAATTCACGTTGGCTCCATTGGAATGTTTCTTCAAAATGAAGAGTTAATAAATATTGCAAATACAGTTGACTTATATCCATCAAATGTTATTTCAATTTTAAAGCAAAAACTTGAATTTCATCTTAATATCACTCGAGAAATCGAATATATCGCCTCTCATCTCTTTGAAATGGAAGAAAGCGATATAAAACTTCTAGATGTTGATACACAGTACCTAATATTTAATTCTTCCTCTGCAAAAATAGAAAATGAAAGTTGGAGATTTGGCTTAATATCAGAACAAGTTAGAGATAATGGCGATCGATTCATAAAGCTTTACGAAACAGTAGACTTTACAAAACTTTTACCAAACGAAAAAGAAGAATTTCTTAATTTGGTACCTTTAGAGAAGTGTACACCATTACTATACCAGAAACTGATTTATGGATCTATCAAAGCAACTCCTGATAAGCAAGAAAAAGTCGAAATACCTAAAAAAGAAGAAAAATCATTAGGAAAAACGTTCAAGAATGAAATTGACGGATCATTAGATGGAATTATCAATTATTTAACTAAGAAGAACAACGGAAACGTGGCCGCAAAGAAAATTGTTGATGTTTCATCATCGAGTCAATTTATTCATTTTTCACCAGAAAATTTAGTTAATTACGATTCGAAGAATATGTTCCAGTCTCTCAATGAAGAAGGATCATGGGTTCAATTTGATTTCAAGAACCTTCAAATTGATGTTTCAGGTTATACAATCGTTACAAAAGAAGGAAACCAAAACGACCATCACTTGAAGTCTTGGGTTCTTGAGGCAAGTAACGATGGAAATACATGGACGATTCTTGACGAAGAGAAAAATAATGTTGACTTAAATGGTCCTTCACATAAAAAGACCTTCGAAGTCAGAAATCACGGATCATATTCGAAATTTAGAATCAGAATGACATCAGTTGCACATTCAGGTTATTGGGCTTTTGCTGCTTCAGCAATAGAATTCTTTGGTAATTTAATAGAATAAAGATTAGATAATTAAATAACCTCATTTAGCATATTTTATAACTACAACTGTTCCAGTTTGCTTTGATTTCATGAATGAATCTGCTTTCGATTTGATTCAATGAGTTTAAAAGCTTAGTTTTTACAGTAAAGCTTTCTTACCGACATATAGTCATTCTCTTCATTCCGATATTTTTCTGATTGGATGATAAATTCAAGAAATATTAGCGTCAAATTTGGAATTTTCGAATATTAATATAAAAAGCATAATATATGAAAGTAGATTATTTTAATTATCCTCATTACAATCACATAATTGATTTATCTTAGAAATCGTCATAGTTTTTTATGCTTTGTTGTAAATTTTACAGTCAAATAGAAAATTTGATTAAGCTACATGATCTAGTAATATTTATAGAAAACTAGGTTAAAAAATTTGAAAGATCACATTCAATTTGTAAATTATACTAAAATGCACAGCCTACTTAGTTAATTAATTATTATATAATTTTAATAACTCAATTGAATCACATTCAAAAGTGTCAAAAATTCAATAAAATTTAATGCAGAGCGAAAGTGAATTTCTCGTGCAAGCAGCTAAGGATTGGGTAAGCTCAATCTTCGGAGAAGATCTCGAAATGTCAAATGTAGTCTCAATTGCCAAATATCTCTCGTTATGTATCTTGGAACCAATTGAACCCAGATTCAGAAGGAAAAAGAGGCTACTTTATTTATGGATTGGCATACATTTTCCTGAATTACGTAAAACATTTACAGAGAAAGGTATCTGCATCAACTACGTTTCCGATGAAAAGAAATTTTCAATAAGATTCCTTCCACCACCTATACTTCAATTCGGAAATCGTCGAATTTAATACTCAACTTGTTGTTTAGTAAAATTTTCCGTAATGACTTTCACCTTTTCAATTGATTTCCCTTTTTTAACTATTTATTTAGCTATTTTTTAATTGAACCCAAGAATTTCTTCCATGGATTTCCATAGGTTCATAGTTTCTTTGAGGTTAATTTTATAATTTCTCATTTTATTTTTTCGGATTAATGATTACATAGTGGTAACTTCAATCTTTCCATCTTAATGTAATGTTTATGCGTTCCAAATAAATAAACTCTGTACTTTTTTACCGATGATGTTTCAATCAACAAGAAATTTAAACCTAAGAAGCTCCAAACTAAGAGTAAGCTTAAATTATGGAATATTAATCAATTCCCACTTGGTCACAAACTGAATCAAAGCTTCATTTCAGATTCAAATTTCTTATTTATCATTAAAAACATATAAAAAACTAGGTAAAATAACAAATAATAATAAACAAATTTACAAACATGGTATAGAAACAAATAAAGAAAAAGAAAAATATAAATTCAAGCCAATTGTTGCAACAAAAGTTGATTAATTTCAACTTTTGTTGGAATATTGCATTGGTAGATGACATCATTGAACAGCTTAGTTAAATTTGTAAGGTTCATGATGATAGCTTCAAGAGATTCGTTGAAAATAGCAGCCACTTCTACTAAACTTCCAATATAACCACAGTTTGTAGAAAAGGCACTTCTCATTTCAACGATATCTCCTTTATTTGTCAAAGAAGTCGGAACTTTCTTTGTTAACAAATGGAAACCATCAGTATTTACAAGGGAAAGAGCAATTTTAAGGTCTTCAATGTTGAATTCTCGGGCCGAATTTTCGTTATTATCTTTCTTTTGGCTGGAGAAGAAATCCTTACAAAGTTTAAACGCTTTATAGGTATTTCTATAAAGATCTAAGCCTTTACTGACCATCTCTTGATTTACAATTTTTTCATTTTTTATCGCTGTATTTATCGATGTGTTGGTTTTGAAAAGCTTTTGGAATGAAAAATCGATAGTTTTTGTGATTTCGCCCATTCCGGTTTCGTTAAACGATTGAGCTTCTTTCATAAATAATGTTAATTTTTCTGAGAGGGAGCACGACTGATCTATGATCATTATTATGTTTTTCCTTTTGTAATTTTCAGCGCTACCTTCTTTAGATTTAATTTGGAAGATGTAAGCTTCGATTGTTCTTACAAAATTTTCAAATGACTCTCTAAAAGAGCTAAAGCTCTTTGGAAAAGATGGTGGGAAGCAGTTGGATGGCATCTTAAACATTAATTCTTGATATTTGTCAACTATTGAGTTGTAAATATCAATTAAGTCTTTTAATTCCTTACAACGAATGGTTAAAATGTTTTTGGAAGATTGCGACTTCTTTTGTAGGTGTGTAGAAATCACAACATCCTCATTAATTGGAATTCTGCTACTTTCAGCAACCTTGTAAATGTTGAGATGCTTCATAAACAACAAATAATTTTTTTTCAATGACATTTTACAAATTATTTATTTAATCAAATATATCAGTCTTTGCAAAGTATAGATATTTGATTCAAATCAATTTGTTATCATTTAAAATATTTTTGTGATTTTAGAGATATATATTTGATATTATAGCATTTCTTAAAAATTCAATTTGAGTTCCATTATGAATAAATTGAAATTTGAATTCAGCGTTCTCATTTCAAAAGTACAAATTGTGAATTGAATGAAATTTTCATCCTATACATATTTTCGAATTTCAACAGTAGAGAAGCCATATATAATGTGATCATCTATTCAATATTTTTTTGTGAGTCATAAATTTAAATTGAATTTAGGATTGAATAAAAATGTTATCGCAATAATTTTTTAATGATTTTTTTGGAGTTAGAATTAGATAGATGAATGCAATTCAAACATAGATTTTTCTAATGAAAATGGCATAAAATAAATTTTTGTGAAGAATTTTGATCAGCCAATTTGATTTCTAAAATATGGGAACATTCACTTAAACTGTCTCATTGCGTCTAAATTCCACATCGAAAGATATAAAATTGATATCTAATAATCAAATTTTTTAAATTTAGCCCCACAAGATAGTAATTCATTGAGCAAAGCTTAATCAATTTTTCTGTTGCATGCTAAGATCAGTCATAATGTAAACCTCTCAATTTTATTGTCGTGGGAAGTATCTCAATTCCTTCAAAAAAATTGAAAAACTATTTAATTTTAAAAATATAATACTTTTAATTAGTTAATTAATTGGAGATATTTTTAAAAAATCACTTTTGATAATACTTTTGAGAACTTTAATTAAAAAAATATATTCAAAAATATCCAGGATATCAAGAGGGAATTGTTCCTTATGAGGTATATAGTTATGATGTATACCTCATAAGGAACAATTCCCTCCTTAAAACGAGAAAACTTGTTCGAAATTGTTTATCATTTCGAACAATTTTTCTCGTTTTTAATAGGAAACTAAAGGCTATGAGGCACTGATTATATATTAGTGCCTCATAGCCTTTAGTTTCTAATAGATAGCTGGGAAACTTTCTCCAAATGATAAGTTATTCAGAGAAAGTTTCCCAGCTATCAAGAGGGAATTGTTCCTTATGAGGTATATAGTTATGATGTATACCTCATAAGGAACAATTCCCTCCTTAAAATCGTAGACATTTTTATACTTATTAATCAACCATTCAAAATCATATTCCTCTGAAAAGTTATTTTATTAAAAATTTAGAATTTTAATAAATATAGAGTTTGAATTTCATACAATACCTATATATTTTCAATAATGGAATTTGAAAACCATTCTCAAAAGTTCTCAGAAAACCTTTTTTTCATTAATTTTAAGAAATCTGAGTATTAAATTAAGTGATAAATTCGTTTGACACTACTTTAATTTTTAAATTCAAAAAATTATATGTGCTTCTTAAAATGACTCAAAAAAATTTATTATAAAATAATATATAATATTAAAAATCCCACAACATTTTTACTTTACATAATCGTACTTCCTCGACGATTAATTTCCACTCAATTTCTATCGTTGACCGAACTTAGCATGCAACAATACTGCTATTGTCTCACATGTTTTGAGTGTATTTAAAAATAATGAATTTGCTTCATCGAACATAAAAAAAGTTACTTTTGTTTACCCACATCCAGATCCTTATTATGACAGGTAAGAAGTTGGTCTGGATCCAGGGGGATACTTCATTGAATTTTCGGGTGCACTAGGAACAAATAGCAAAGATCCTAGACCAAAGGTCATGAACTTGGTGAAAAAGGAGTATATACCTCTGGAATAATAAAAATTAAAGATTATACTACATTTTTATCTTTTTAGGTGGAACAAATGGATACATTGGTGGATAACGTGTAGAGAAAGGGATATTATGCAAAAATGGTGGAAATGGTGGCTGTGTCACAGATATATGGACGATTAATGGCGAATGTAATTCAAATCAATCTTTAAATTCAAGAATTTTAGTTGCTGGTGGAGGCGGAGGCTTTGCAGCTATCAGAAACTGCTATTTTGATAATAATTGGCAAATGGAATGTGTTGAAAGAAATCTTGAAAGAATTATAAATAACAAATCCGATCGGATTTTCAATGGAAATGTCGGTTATGATGTCAATGGGAGCTCCAGCGGTTTTGGAAGTATAATTGGTGATGTCGAATCCTATGAACAATTTATGAAAGGGAGAGATAGAGAAAATGGCAGTTTTTGGATTGGTGGAAATGGAGGTGATCTTTATGACTGTTCTCAAAAGTTTGATGAATACAATCCAAACAGGAGGTGATGTTGGAGCAGGATCTGGTTATTGGGGATCAAGAGGAGGTCCAGGGAGAGGTGAAAGTGGATTTATTTAAGCATCATTTGTTTCAGGACGAATGATCAGCGGTCTTAAACCAATGCCCTCATATAAATCATTTGGTTACATGAATGGAAATTCTGGAAATGGTGCTGCAAGAATATCACTATTAAATATTTTCCCTGACTTTCAAATTAAACCATATCTCATCTTTTTAAAATAAGCATTCTTTGCAATGTAAGTTATGTTTTATCAAAGAATTGAAATTTGAAACATTTGATTAAAATATCAAACATAATGAAACATTATTTAGCTGTGTGATTTAATCAGAACAGTCCATTAACAAATTTGACTGAGTTTATTTTGCATTATTAACCTTAGAACAAATGAATTTTAATTGAATTCATAAGTGAAATTCCATGAAAAGTGACAAAAATAAGTTTTTGATGATAATAAATAGTTATTGGTCAAATTCCTCAAAGAATTTGATCAAGTCTGGGAAGATTACTTTCCAGGCTCGAATCAAGATGAAACACAGACAGAGGACAAACAAATCACAGGTAAGTCTGGTTCATTTCTAGTTAAAAATGTATTCTTGTCAACAAAAGGAGGAAATGTAATCAAACTTACTAATAATGATAACAATAAGCTCCTTTGTCACTCAACAACTTTCAATGAAATAAAAAATGGATATTGCATTTATCAAAAACTTGGACAAGTTGTTATGTATCATATTTGTTCAATAAATGCTGAAAAAAGTTCGGACTTTGCATGCACATATTCTTATTGCACCAAAAATTCAGCATTCAAAAATTACATGTTTGAATCATCATTAGTTGGATATAAATCAAATGAAGGATTTAAACAAGAAGCAGCTGATATATTAATTTCCAATGTTAATATTTCTAAATGTCAATGCAATTATAATGTTCTTGGTGTTTTATCTTATGAAGCTACACAGTTTCAATCCAAAGTTAAGTACATTTTCGGATAATATAGCTTCACAAGAAAGAGGATTACTTAGCTTAAATGCTAAAGTTGAAAATTGTAATTTTGTGAATAATAAATTGAATGCAGGATCTTTAAGTGGAATTATTTTCACTGAAGGTAGTATCACTGTAAACAACTGTTCATTTGTTTCAAATAAATGCCCATATCTATTTTATAATAGGAATGGTGTAACTTTATCAGTAACAAATGTCAAATTGTTTCAAAATGATATTTCATCATCAACTACCTATGGAAATGTAAATCCACTTCAGACAACAAATGATTTTGAAATAATTTTGAGTCACTTTTCATCTTATCTTTGTCAAGCAAAAAATCCACTAAAAAATCTAATTAACTTTGAAAACAAACCAAAAAGTTTTTTGGAAGAATTTCGTGAAGATGTCCCTTATTTTATTCTGCATCTTTTTTCGAGTGATATCGATAAAAGGATTGAGAACAATCAATACCGCAAACGACCTCGAGAATTTGAAATTTATCAAGGATTACAATTCAAATAAAAGTCTTCATTTTTACTCTAATTTTTTTTTCTCTATCCAAATTTTTCAATCAAATTGAAACAAACTTTCGCAATTATGCGAATCATACCAAATGTTTGCAAAATTGAAAGATTTCAGATAAAAGCTTTTGAATTGTTCAAATCTGTCAAATTTGTCACTTTTATTCATGAAGCTGCAGTAAATCTCCAATTTCTTATTCTTACAGTGAATCAATTGTTACTTATCCTTCTCAAAATGGAGATGGTTTTCTACGGAAAGTATTAAATTCAAATTCACTCTTTAACAATAAATTTTTTAAAATTTATGCTTCTAAAGAAGGATATCCAAATTTAAATAAATATGAATTATATAAACTTGAAAATGGTTTTGATGGTGACACGAAAACTTTTTTCTTCACAGAACAAGTGTATAATTTTATCGAATTTCAATTTCATGGACTGTTCAACTATTCAGGTTTAGTAATTCATGGAATTGGTCCTCCAGAACCTACATGTTTTGATGTTTTAGGATCGAAAGACAATAAAAATTATGAAATTATTGCAACATATAATTTGACAAAATTAAACAAACCCATTGGTAATAAAAGAGTTCTTTTTCCTATTATTCAAAATGAATATTATCGAAGAATTAAAATATATTCATATGAAGATAGCAATCACAATTCATATGGAAGTTTAGGCTTCTATGGATTAGATATTTTTGGAACATTTTTGGGTATTGAATTCCAAAGCTGTCCTATTTCTAACCATTTGATGAATAATTTTATTTACTTTGTGTTTTTAATAGTAAATAATTGATTTAGTTATCATTTTTCAATGAAATATAATCGTTTTTTGACAATATATATATATATGTCAATTAAATAACATAATTATTTTAACCATACATTTTATTAAGCGCATTAATGGGAAACAAGCGAAAAATAGATTTTAATATTTAGTATATCTGTTAATGCTTTATTCAGAAACGATGATAACTAAAAACAAGCACAATTCCTTTAAATTAAAAGATATTTTATTAAAACAAGAATTATTTAGCATTATGATATATACATTAATATGAAAACAGAGAAAAGTGAGAATCCAAGATTATTATGATTGCATTTAAAGGAAACAACGCAATCATCAATAATAGATATCCTTGCTGCACCATTTCCAGAAATGCCATTCATGTATTGAAATGATTTATATGATGGCATTTGTTTGAAACCGCTGATCATTCGTCCTGAAACAAATGATGCTGAAATGTATCCACTTCCCCCTCCTCCTGGACCTCCTCTTGATCCCCAATAACCAGATCCTGCACCTCCACCGTAATATCCACCTCCCCCACCACCTCCTGTGTTCGGATTATAAGGGTAAGGATAAGGCGGCTTGTCATAAAGATCTCCACCATTTCCACCGATCCCAAAAGTGCCATTCCCACCATCTCTTCCTTTCATAAATTGTTCATAAGTTTTAATATCACCATCTTTGACACCATATCCATTAGAGCTTCCAAAAAAGCCAAAACCGCCATTTCCACTGAAATTACTTTTGACAACATTCTCAATTTCTCTTTCTGGATTTCCTTCAACACCGTCAACTTGCCAATTATTGTAATAATGTTGCATGCTAAGTTCGGTCAACGATAGAAATTGAGTGGAAATTAATCGTCGAGGAAGTACGATTATGTAAAGTAAAAAATGTTGTGGGATTTTTAATATTATATATTATTTTATAATAAATTTTTTTGAGTCATTTTAAGAAGCACATATAATTTTTTGAATTTAAAAATTAAAGTAGTGTCAAACGAATTTATCACTTAATTTAATACTCAGATTTCTTAAAATTAATGAAAAAAAGGTTTTCTGAGAACTTTTGAGAATGGTTTTCAAATTCCATTATTGAAAATATATAGGTATTGTATGAAATTCAAACTCTATATTTATTAAAATTCTAAATTTTTAATAAAATAACTTTTCAGAGGAATATGATTTTGAATGGTTGATTAATAAGTATAAAAATGTCTACGATTTTAAGGAGGGAATTGTTCCTTATGAGGTATACATCATAACTATATACCTCATAAGGAACAATTCCCTCTTGATAGCTGGGAAACTTTCTCTGAATAACTTATCATTTGGAGAAAGTTTCCCAGCTATCTATTAGAAACTAAAGGCTATGAGGCACTAATATATAATCAGTGCCTCATAGCCTTTAGTTTCCTATTAAAAACGAGAAAAATTGTTCGAAATGATAAACAATTTCGAACAAGTTTTCTCGTTTTAAGGAGGGAATTGTTCCTTATGAGGTATACATCATAACTATATACCTCATAAGGAACAATTCCCTCTTGATATCCTGGATATTTTTGAATATATTTTTTTAATTAAAGTTCTCAAAAGTATTATCAAAAGTGATTTTTTAAAAATATCTCCAATTAATTAACTAATTAAAAGTATTATATTTTTAAAATTAAATAGTTTTTCAATTTTTTTGAAGGAATTGAGATACTTCCCACGACAATAAAATTGAGAGGTTTACATTATGACTGATCTTAGCATGCAACAATAATAGCAGTAGCCAACTGCAGCAAAGCCTCCTCCACCACCTGCAACTAATATTCTTGAATTTAGAGATTCTGTGGAGTTCCATTTGCCATCAATTGTTCTAATGTCTGTCGCTCCACCTCCATTTCCACCATCATTGCAGTATGAGCCTTTACCACCATGACCTCCGCCATTATACCCGTTTGTTCCACCCAAAAAGATGAAAAAAGTTTTTTTCTCATTAATTCTTATTTTCCCGGAAGTATATCCTCCTTTTCCACCAAGTTCATGTCCTTGAGATCTCGGATCTTTGCTACTTTCTCCTTGTGCACCCCATAATTCAAATAAATAGAAACCAGGATGTAATTCAACTTTGTATCTCGATGAACTTTCGTTTGATTCTACGAAAGTAAATAATGCAGTCTTCTGTTCAAACGATACATTCTCATATTGTCCAGTAAAATTCAAAAATTAGCTACCTATTTTTACCAATCTTCCTACTCTATAGACAATCCTAATTTTTAAGGGGGAAACACTTCATCTTCACAATTTTTAGCAAATCGGAAATCATTGGAAATAGAAACATAAATGAGATTATATTCATTGGATTGAAAGATTGTTTAAATGAATGACATTGAAAAATGTTATCTTCAGTGAGAAGAGTTTTGCATTCGATGAGTGGACATGAAACTTTCTCCTATATAATTTTTTACATGAACAGCAAATTCATTTGGAATTTTACCATTTAGATCAATATTTTTTTTACACGCAAAACATTTGGAGGTGGTGGCCAAGGATGGGGAAATCCATACTCTTTCATACCATCATCTGGTGGATGTATGAGTTTTGTTTCATTGAATTCACCAGTTAGTATCCATAATTTCGGTACCAAGGGTCTACGCCCCTCGGAACCAAAATTATTGGATTTGACAAAAACCGTTTGACACGTAAAATACATTTGACATTTACAAAAAATAAAAAAATTAAAAAAAATAAACTTAAAAATAAACGTTAAAATTTTTGACACTTTACAAAATAAAAAATAATTTTTGAAAAAATAAACTTAAAAATTAACGTTAAAATTTTTTTATTTATTTTTTTTATCATAGATTTTAACACCCAGAGTAAAAAAATAATTTTTTAAAATAAATTAACTCAAAAATTTTTTAATTTCTGTATATACTAAATTTTTCATAAATGATAAAATTAATTTTAGGGTATATCTAACCCGATATCTAACCTCATTTCTAACCTTGTGAATTTTCTTATAAAGTTGCGATAGTTGAATTCAGTAACTGAGCCTCAAGGAAGAAAACATCCTTTCCGTCTTCGGGTAATACAACGGGGTATTTATGATCGTGTGTAGAATACATATCAATCCAAAACTCTTTATTATTTCCTGATAACTTATAATATTTAATATTTGTTAATGGTGATCTAGTATGTCCATAAATTCATTTTCAACCCCTTTAGCGATATTTGAATATAAATGACTTGTTTTCTGTCCCATACATTATATTTATTATTGGTAATAATACTGTTCGTTCTTCTCCGGTTTATAATTAAATACATTCATGAAGTCTTCATTATACTGAGAAATTTTAAAACCTATCCTAAAATCACTTTGTCTCTTTTCTGCTATTTCATTAAACGGTGAGTATATAACAAATGTGCATGTATGTGAATCATCTATTTGTTCAATAAATTCATAATGAAAGTCTATAATTTGTGGTTGAATTCCTTCTTCTTTTAATTTATCAAGATACACATTTAATCTTAAAGCGTTTTTGTTAAATTTCTTTTCGAAAATTTCGTTAAAATCACTCATGCATTCATATAATGTTGTGTCGTCTTTGAAATATTTATATATGTGAATAGTTTGCTTAAATTCTTGAGTTTCGTTTATAACAACAACTTCGAGCTCAAATTCAACCTTTCTAAATCCTCGTGTTATATACATACTTGATAAACCAATATATTTTTCGTTTATATTAACAGACCAGTCAATAGGTAATTTAAATGTGATTCTATTTCCATTTATTTTAACATTTTCGTCTTCAGAACTAAAAGCAACTGTTAAAGGTACTTGTCTATACATTTATTACAAACAAAAATATATCATTTATTCTTTCTTCTCGATGGATTCAGCCTTTTCCTTTTCCGCCTTTTCTTTAGCCTCACGTTCTCTTTTTGCTTTCATTCGCGGGTTCTTCTCTCTTCCTGCAGCTAATGCGGCTAACTGCTTTTCACTTAATTTCCTTTTTGGTTTTTGTGGTTTTTCTTCGGCCTTTGATGTCTTTAGTTCTGTTAATATCTGCTCACAAATTTCTTTTTTGATGGCTTCAATATCTAATCCCTGACTCATTTGATTACCGATAAAAAATTCAAAATTTAAAAATTTTATTTGAATTAAATATGAGCCTATCAAAATCTGAGAGACAATCGATTATATTAAATGATGCAAGAGGAATTCAGCATCCATTATATTATGTATCAACAAGTAAAGATGGAAAAATTTATGTAAGAAAAAGACGAGTTCCATTAACGAATTCAGAAACTGATAAAATAGATATTAAACCTCCTCCATCTGAAACTGTCCCGTACCGAAATGCATCACTAGAAAAGTGACAAAAAGTGACACTTACTCTTATTTTGCGCGGCAATTTTTCTAAGTTATTTTGTTAAGCTAAATGTGTTATATATCAAATCAGCTTTATAAATATTATAGAAAAGTTTATTTTTATTTTTATTTTTAATTATTATTATTTTTTAAATTAAAAGAAAACATTAGAATTATATGGATATATTTAAATTAATTATAAAAATAAAATTGAATATATTGAAGTTTGAGTTTATAGGTATATACAAATTTTAGAGGCATTTTGGCTGAGAACTATGGTCTGCGAGGTACATAGATAGAATCAGTACCTCGCAGACTATAGTTCTCTATATGGCGCCGAAAATTTTTGGTGAAATGTCGTCGCATTTCACCAAAAATTTTTCGGTGCCATAGGAAGAATTGGAGGGTGTGAGATACTATTACATGCTATAGTACTCACACCCTCCAATTCTTAGCCAAAACGGCTAAAAAATGCTCACAATTGTTGAAATTGTGAGCAATTTTCAGCCATTTTGGCTGAGAACTATGGTCTGCGAGGTACATGGATAGAATCAGTACCTCGCAGACTATAGTTCTCTATATGGCGCCCAAAAAAATTTATGATTGTTTTTTATCAAATCTTATCCATATTATTCTATTAATGTTAATTATATTTTATCAATTATATTTTTTAAATAATAAACACAAAATCCACTAATTTAAAATTGGCGCCAAATGTCACTTTTGCTAGTGATGCATTTCGGTATGATATATCCTCCATCTGAAACGAAATCAGAACCTAAACCAGGACCTTCGGTCTTGGCGCAGAGCGCCGAAATAAAATCAGAACCTAAACCAGAACCTAAACCCGATGTACTTTCGATAACGAATCAAGAATTAATAGCTAAATTTGTAAATTTCATTGAAAAGCAAACGGAATCAAAAAATCCAGACCCACCAATAAAAGAACAGGAAACCAAAATTAATGAAGAGTTTGTTAAAAACGTAAAACATGAAATTATTGAACAAAAGAAACAAATTCCTCAACTAAGAAGAAGAGTTAGAATATTAAACTAAATAAATATTTTTATCTAACATAAAACATGCAAAACGAACAGCTTAACGAATTTACACCAGCTGAACATATCCATCAAATTCGTTCATATTTTGATGTAATCGATAATGCAATTAATATTGGTGATACTAATAGAAGATATATCGATGCAAAAATTCCATCACAACCAGGAAGCGCAAAGGATCATAACTGGGTCACATTCAATTTATCTCCGCCAGGTGAAAATATGCTAGACCTTTATAACACATTCCTTACAACTACCTATAAAAGTAAATATATCATTGATAATGCTATTACTGGCTCATCAATTCCAAATACTAATTCTCCAGGTTTCTTTGGCGTTTTTGATGAATCAATTTACACCATTAGCGCTTATCAGTTATTAGCAAATGGAAGAGTTATTTATAGTCAGGATAACGCAAGAGAAGAAGCATATATCATTTCTAATTCACAGACTACAGAACAAATAAAGAAAGTTGATGTTTTCTCAAAAACGAGACATAAAGATGTATGGAAACGTTCTGGAACAGTTCGAACAGGTCAAATTATCTCAGGACCTTTAGCTGCAGGAGCTGAAATTAATTTTGACATTAAAATAAAGATTCCATGTCGTAAATTCCTTATTCTAGAAGTTATTAGATTTATTCCTGCTTTTGCAGGCAACATTCAGTTAAAGGTTAAATTTAGTAGCGATGCATTCCAGGTAACAGCACTGCCGGTAGAAGATATTTTAGCTCATAATCCTTCTTTAATCAGTCAGGTAAAAGATAATTATGACCCACCAACTAATAAATTTGTTCCATGGAATGAACCATTCAATATGATAACAGCAGTTTCTAAATCAAATGGTGAAATTACTGTTTCAACAGTTGAACAAAGATTAACGAAGAAATCAGCTGAATTCATTGATTGCTTCATTCATCCTAAAGCATTTTCACTCGATCCAAATATTTACACTGAATTAGTCGATCATTATACATCACAAGCTTTATGTTTTCCAATTAAAGTAATGGACTGGATTCCTATGGACGGTTCGTTCAGTAAAGGTTCACCATCAGCAACTTTCACAGCAGCTTATACACCAATTAACGTTAAAAGCATTTGGGCTTTATTTAGGAAGAATGATAATTATATCGTGAATTTCGAAAATCCTCAATTTGAAACCCTTCAATTATCAATGGGCGCTTATGGAAGTATGCCAGCTGAACCCGAAAGCTCTTATGGTCCTGTGTTCTATGAAATGGTTGCTAATGCATGCAATACAAATAACGATATGATAGGATTTAATGAAGATGTGATGAGGTCGTTAATTGATGATGGAAGCGTTAAACATTTATATGATCGATAACACTCATTTCCTCTGTGGATTCCCGACTGAAACTGATTTCACATTTCAACAGGGTCAAACATCAACGGCACCAATTACATATAAATTAGGTGTTAAAGCTGATGATACAAATATAAGCGAAAAATACACTGTCAAACCTTTATTAGGATTTCTTAGAAATGCTTGTTTCGCTATTCAAGTCAGACCAGCTGGCATTCCTGCTGTTAGAATTGATGATTATAATTTAGCTGCTGATGGAGGTGAAGAGTAAAAAAATGTAGTTAATTTTTAATTTTCTGATTTTTTTATTTTTATAAAACGATGGAAAATAACTGGGAAACATTAGTAGCTGATGAAGATTATGAAATAAACACTGAATATCCATATCAAATAAGAAGGAAGAAAAACGGAAAGACTGTCAGTGAGTATGAAGAAAAGAATGGATATATAAGATTAACCCTTAACGGTAAAAAATATCTTAAACACAGATTAATAGCTATTCAGTGGATTGATAATCCTAGTTTTGGGGAAGTTGACCATTACGATAAAGTTAGAAATAATAATATGATTGATAATCTACATTGGTGTTCAAGTTCTACAAATAATAGAAATAGAAGTAAAGCAAATGGAGTAGAATATAATTTCGTTGATGAAATCAGTGAAAATTCAATTACTGTTTCACATTATGGAAATCATGAATTTGAGGATTTATTTTACGACATCGATGCAGATTTGTTTTATTATTATAACGGTCGTCATTATAAAGAACTATACATTAATGAAAACATAAATGGTTCATTATATGTTAACGTTTATGATGTAAATAACAAAAGAACGTGCATTACATATAGTAAATTCAAACGCTTACATAATTTAATATGAAAAGTTTATTTTTGTCTTGAACGATAAAAATATATTATATCATAAATGACTTCAGAACTTTAACTTTCTTATGAAAGTATTTTTAGTCGTTATTGAAAAGTTAAACTTCTCTTCAAAACACGGTGCTGATGATTTGCATAAATCAAATGCAATTTCCTGACTACTATGAAGGGCTTCATATAATTTCATAACTGAAAACTCACTATCTTTATCCTATTTTCCCTAAGGAATCATTAATCCTTTATCTTCATCATAAACGCATTTAACTGCTTCAGGAAACATTTCATTTGCTGTTAAAGCTATAACATCTTGTTTTACGCCTTTCATTCTGCAGTGAAATGCAACTTCATTTAAATCATTAGTGAGTAAGTCAATGTAAGTCTTCTTTCCACAAAATATCGACTTATAAGCTAAACTTTGTTTATCTTTTGTGATTTCTGCAAAGTCGGAATGGAACTGACCTAAATTCTTTCCAATAAGTTCGCGACCATATCTCTTCTTAAACTCTGCAGCGAGTTTTGGTATGTCTTCATTGTAAATGTGCATCGAATCTGTATCCTGATAAAATGCTTTTAATCCTAAGTCTTCAATCGTGCAAAATACTTCATTCATGATACGTTTCGACATAGATAAGATATTAACACCTAAGGGGCAAAAGTTAAAGTGGCTGCAAATGCTTTTAGTTAGTTTGAAAATAGTTTTATCCGAACCATCTAAACCTTCAAATTAATAATATGGTTATAATTTCTGATGGCATACCTAACAGCATCTTTATCATCAATGATTTTAATTTTCGACTCTATCGGGGACAAAATAGTTTTTCCATAAATACTGTTCAAAATTAATTTAATATTTTCTTGTAGCGGGTTTTCTTCCTTCTTATACTTTAATCTCAATTCAAACAATTTCTTTACTTCATCTCTTATTCTAAAATCTCTCTTTTCATCATAGTAGTAACCCTGTAATACTTTGCAACTGATGCCCTGATATTTTATTAAATCTTGTAAAGTGATGTGGTCCACATACATTAAACAGCATGTGTTTGAACTTCTTGGAACAGTGGCTTTGTCCTTGGCTTTGTCCTTGGTGCTTTTCGCCTTTAGCTCCGGGTTTAATTCTGGATCGACTGTTATAAGTGGAAAATATCTTTTAATCTTGATATCAGTTATTTTTATTAAAACAAAGAATCCGGAAATGAATTTATCACCTTCAGGCTCGCCCTGGTCATCTTCGAATAAATGTTTTAACAAATATTCACTGTTTAACATTTCTGGCTTCAAAACTTTCGGAATTCCTTCTAAAGTATAAAGTCTCGCGATAGCGGATGGATATAGTGAGACAGCATCGCAGTCAGCAATGAGTTTCTTTTCGCTCTTTTGTTTCTTATTATCAGCTAACATACATCTTCCACCTTGAATACAGCGTGAAATAAACTCACGGGTTTATTTGATAGGTCATATAAATTTCCATTAGGGAAGTATACTCTGTTTCAAATAATTTATTAGCAATTGAACAAATGCTAACGTAATCATAAACGTTTAAATCAAATTCTTTTAATATATCATTTCTGAACTTAACGAAACCTTCTCTTAAAATCCTTACGTCCTGTTTACAGTAAAATGAGCTATATTTTTCTAAATCGAAATGGTTTTCATCTATTCTGCAGTTTTCGATTAAATCTATGTTTTTCATGAACGTTTCAACATCCTGGACAAACTTACATGCTTCAGAAATGACACCAGTTCTGTTATCATTAGCTAATAAAGAACTTGAATAATATTTGTACGGAATACTTCCTTAGGACCTGTTTGTAAATGAAACATTTCAGGAAATTCTTAAGTTTTTATAAAGTGTATGAATCTTTTATAATGATTGCTTTACCTTTATATATTCCCGTTATCTGCATTGTTCTAGAACCCTTAATAATTGGTGTTCCTTTAATTTCTGTTAAATGTCTTAAAATGAAATTGATATCATAACTGAGGTTATGAAAATATACTAAACTCTTATCTGGAATTCTTTCTAAAAATTCTGTTGCACAATTTTGACCCCAAATGCTTTCGCTAATCTTTCCATCTTCACTGTCATAACAAATGTTAAAGCTTTATGAACTCCATCAGTGCTACATTCAAAGTCAGCGAAGAAAATGTGTTCAGGAATGAATTTTGTTTTGATTTATCTATCTTTACTTTCGGACTTTTTCTTTAACTGAACACAGTAGTTGGGAGTATAATTTAAATCTTTAAACGGTGCAAGTTTTTGTTTATATAAATCTGTTGTATAAGTGAAAAGTTCTCCATAAGATAAAGGTTCAAAGTAATTGCACTCTCTTAATGTTTTCAAAATTTCCCATAAAGCAGTTGTTCGTGAAGAATCAATGAAAATTATTTTCTCTTTCTTATATATTTTCATTTGACGCTCTATTCCAGCCGCCTAATGATTTGAGAATTTCGTTATAATTTTTGATAAAATATGTTGTCATGGTAATCTTTCATTTAACATGTAATGGTCTTCAACGAGTAATAAATCGATTGTTTTCTTTATTTCTGTGTGACCTTCGGTCTCGCCGCTTTGCGGCTTTGATGGTGTATAATGAACTGTCTTGTTATCTTTTGAATTATCGAAATAACCAATGGTAACATTAAATGCTATGCCTGTTGCGTTAGAAATTTTCTGAATCTTACTTTGTGGAAAATCTCTAACTCTAATGACTTCACGCATGTGGTCTACCGTCTGCTCATCAACTCCAGCCTGAATGCAAGCATAAACGAAGCAGTTATCTTCTGTCATCAATTTTGCAGTTCTTTTGTTAAGTTCATTGAAAATTTGATAGCGTTCAAGATTTATAGGTAATCTGCAAATATATTTCCAAAACTCACCACTTCTCTTTTTATTCGTTCTCTTTTCATCAAGAATTTCATTCCAAAAATCATCTATATCCTGTTTATCTCCTATTTCTTTAAGTCTGTTTAATAATCTTTGCTGACGTGCTGTTAATTTGCTTTCATCTCTTTTTTCTCTCTTCTGTGGCTTACCTTTCTTAATATCGCTCATCGTTAATCCTTCATATTCAGTTAAATCATACATTTTAATTTCTTCGAGGTTCTTAATATTTGTCATGAAGAAATCATAATGTTTTTCAATTATTCCAGCTGCGTTTGCTTCAATCTCTGTTATAAAGTTTTCTTGCTTTAACTGATGAAGTAAAGCTCCGATGTTCTCGATATTCAATGTTGAATTAGTAAATTTACCATCAAGTTTATAACAAATCATTCATTTTTGCTGTGAATTTACTTTTATCTTCTGCAGAAGCCTAATAAACATTTTACCGAAACGTTCATGTAAATACTTTCTGTTTCTTCATTGAGTTCTTTAATGTTAAAATCTATGATTCTATTTCCTGCTTTAACATTTTTGCGTTTATTATTTTCATCCTTCTTTAACCATTTCTCACCATCAAGAGCTTTATCATCTATAGATTTAATTACTTCGTTTGCTTTGCGTAATTGTGCAATTGCTTTTGCATATTTTACAGCTATATTTTTCTTTTCTTCATCGCTTTTCTTCTTTCTCGTTTCACCTACATTAACATTAGTTATATCATGCATTTCCTGCCTAACTTCCTTCGGTACCGCCTTACGCGTCTTTCCTACATCAACATTAGTTATATCATACATTTCTTTTCTTACTTCCTTCGGTACTGCTGTTCTGGTCTTTCCTACATCAACATTCATCATATCATGAATTTCCTGCCTAACTTCCTTCGGTACCGCTTGTTTATGATATAAATTAACCTGAACATCATTTAAAGGAAATGTTTTGTTATTAATGTAATCATTAATTTTCTCGTAAGTGACTACACCTCTGTAATCATTGAGGTATTTAGCTAATGAAGATTTGTTAGTCGCATATCTTTTGCTAACTTCAATGTCAGCATTCTTCAATAACTTCTTAATTTCTTCATGGTCTAATCTAGATAGCTTTTTATACATCTTTTATGGAAAATAAAAAAAATATTTTCCGTAAAAAATAAATTATATTTTTTAAGTTAATTTTTTAAAATAATTTTTTAGAAACTAGTTAGCAAAATTATTTCTTTCTATATATGCCATTTCGAACTTCGAAACGATGTTTTATACCAGTATAGAATTTTTCTCTAGAACTTAGTCTTAAACTGTTTTCATGACAATATTTTCTATATTCTTCATATAAAGCCTTTTTATTATACATTTTATAAGGACATTCAAACCAGAATAGTTCATATCCCTGCTCCTCAGAAACGTTATCTCTATAAAATTCTCTTTCTTCTGTTTGGGGAGACATCTCCGGATTTATTTCTATATAAAATGGAGTAAATAAATTTGGATAAAGAGGGTCTGGCGCTATATAAAACTTTTTACTTTCTGTCATCTTTTCTATCTGATAAAAATATTTTTAATAGAAAAATATAATTTAAAAATAAACTTAATTTTTTAAAATAATTTATATTTTTAATTTTAATAAAATAATGTCTGAATACAAGTTCTATTCATACAATGCTCTCGCTACTGCTGTTAAGGGTGAATTCATAAATGGAAAAAACGTGAACGTAATATTCAATAAAAAGTTTGTGAAAGAATCTAAATACGGTCAGTTTGTTAAACCATACGCTATCATTATTGACAGAAAACGTTACACACCACATGAAATAGCAGTATTACTTAAACAAAGAGGAATATTTGTAAATATCAAAGATACTCATTATACGATTATGAAGAACTCCAACGCTGAATTTTTCAGCATCGCCTTAGATTTATCGCAGCAGAAAGAATATAAGAAGGCGCAAGGCGCCGAGACCAAAGGTCCAGGTGAAGTGGTTGTGAAATATTATCCTTCATCACTGAAGACGATAACGAATAAAGATATAATCAATAAGCTCCTACCAGTAATTGAGGAAGCAACGATTGAATATGATGAAGAAGGAACGGAAATAGTTGATGAAATCGACCCTGAAGCTTTATAAGAAATTTTATTTTTGAATAACTGAAGGTGTCACCACGTCACCATGTGTCACCTGGTTAATTAACTTCTTTTAAAAAGTGTGACAACATGACATTTAGACAACAGCATGGGTTGAATGCAAAAATAAATTCGAATCATACTTTATACTGCATCGTTTACGGGTATTTCATCGTCAGTAAATGAATCATCATTATCGTTTGGTTCAATCTGTTTATATAATCCTTTCATTTCTTCTTTCAAAACATAACACCACGTCTGTTTACCATCTATTCTTCTCTGTTTCCTTTCACATTTATCCTTAATGCTCATTTGAAAGTTTTTGTCTTTCATGTCTGATGGTTTGCAGCAAAGAGCATTTTTACACGTCATACCTGCACACAATTCATCATAATGTGTATTTATCCATACATCTAAAGGATTTGTTGATAATTCAATTAAATCTTGTTTGGCTTCAGTCATCGGAATGATTCGTACATTAAATGATGAAAGGTCGTATTGCATAAAATACGTTAGTAAATTATCATAAAATTCCTTAGTGCATGAATCCATTAAATTCTTGAATTAATCAAATTGACCCTTAAATTTACCATTAACCCTTAAAACCACGTATCTTCTGTCTCCAACTTCAATTTTGACAGGGTAGACGTTATTAGTTACGAAAATGAAATTAGCAACATTCTGAGCAGTTCTTCTGGGTTGATTCTTTTCATTAATTCTAATCTCATTATCCGTAATAATTGATTTCAAAGCGTTGAAGTTTGCGAGTCTGTCTTCACCTACATTCTTGAGTTCATTAAGTACAAGAAACATTTTATTTTCAACTACTGAGTTGAAATTACCCGTTAGCTCACTTATTTCAGTAATGTTTTTACATGAATAACCAGCGAGGAGTTCAGAAATAATGTCTGTAAATCTGTTTTTACCTGTTCCCTGAAGTCCTTTCAAAATAATTGCTGTTTCATTCTTGATTCCTGGATGTTGAATCATTGATGCGATCCAGCCGAGAAGGTATTTATACACTTCATCATTATTATCACAAATGGGTTCTTTAATGAAATTCATAAACATTTCAATTTTTGAGTAATCAGGCTTTTCAAGAATGTTGTATTTATAACCCTGAAACGTTGAAAAAACATCTGGAGAATCAGATTTAAAGCAAACACCCTTAACAGTTAATGAGGATAATTGATTTAGTAGTACGTCCCATGCTGTTATGGTTTTACCTTCTTCTTTAAATAATTTAATCATTTTGAGTGACTCTTTCATGTTTGACTGAAGAACAAATGATATTTGATTCATTTTATCATGAATATTATAGTCCTTTTGAATGAAGTATTTATTTCCACAATCTACAAAACGGATGACACGTGATAAATCCTCAATTACTTCAGAACTGTTTTTATACTGATGATTTTCAGCCTTGCGTCTAATATCTGTTATCAAGAATGAATCATCTAGTTTGATATCAAATGTTATTTTTGGCTTACGTAATAAAGGCAAAACGTATTCATCATAATATTCTTTTTGATATAGTTTTAGAATCTTCACTAAAACAAATGGAGAAGTCATTAAATGTGCATATCTACTACGTGCTTTTTCAAAATTACTTTTTGCATTTTCTGTTAAACTGCAGAAGTTATAAACGTTATTGTATGCTTCATTAATCTAATGATCAGGTAATGAATTAATTGCTTGAAACAGTGTGAATAATGTTATTTCTTTTTCTAAATTCATGTTTCCACCGTCATTATATACTTCAAAATCACTGATGCCATCGACTATGCTTTGAGCTAGTTTATCGTCAATGTTTACATCTTTGTTTTCATTCATTATACTCTTTATTTCTTCATTCTTTTGTTCAATTCTTACCTTAATATTCAAATCATATAATATATCATTCACTGTTCTAGTTAATGTTGAATCATAACTTCCACGAATGAATGAGTATGTTTTTATTGGTTCTGTTGCAATCTTGCGAACTCTTGAATCAGCCATAACCACTAATGAACGCTTTGAATCATCCATTGAAGTCATTATATCAATATCATAATCATTGCAGGAATAACAGTTAATCATTCTGTTCGAAACTGAATAGAAGAAATTAGTGTTGCAATAAATGTGAAGTCCTCCTGAAGCGGTTTTAACGATAACATCTTTATCCGAAAGTTTTGATAAAATGTCTTTTCTAACTGTTTCTTTAAGTTCATCATTGTACGATTTATTGATATCAACATCTATAATCGTTAAATTTGAAATTTTATTTACTAATAAAGCCATACTAGTTTTCCTTCCTCTTCCTCCATCGTGTTTGAGGTAGTTATGTAAATCAATCTTGTTTTCACCAATTCTTTCGTTGAGGGTTTTAATTTCTGTCACAACTAATTCCTCAGCTAATGAATCAATGATATTTTCATCAGAAACGATAAAATTACTGTTGTTGTTTGTTGCTGTCATTTATATAGGAATAAAAAAAATAAAAATAAATTTAAAACTAACTTTATTTTTGGGCTGCATCAAATTTCCTGGACTGTTGTCTAAATGTCATGTTGTCATCATTTTTAAAAGAAGTTAATTAACCTGGTGACATGGTGACGTGGTGACACTGAAAACATTTACGAAAACATAAACGAAAACATTAATATATAAAATTCATGAAAACATTAACGATATAATATATTTCTGTATTTCATCCGTTACCTTATTATCTCATTAACTTCAGACATAAAATATATTTAGTTCATAAAAAATTTTTGATTAATTTTGGCTTATTTTTATCCTTCCAGTAATCCTTTTCGAGTTCCGATAAATGTGTGGGGTTCGATTCTCTCAAATTTCTAGAAGGAATTTTATCATCCACACCTCCTTCATAAATGACAGTGTATTCATCTTTGTCTTCATCAGAACTCACAATTTTATTAACTATACCTCTTTTCGCTTCATCAACCGTCTTAGCTAATCTTCCATTTTCGCTTTCAACTAATCGAAATCGTGGATAAAACGCTACTGAATGGTCAGCTGCTTTAATTAAATAACCATTACCCTGTGAGGAATCAACGATATAATAATCATCACTTAACTGATTTCTTACCTTTTCATGTGGTTTATATTCAAGAATGATTCTAACTTTAGTTCCTGGCAGTAATGATGAACTTCTTCTTTCCTCCGTTAACATTCTTTTTTGTTTTATGTATTCATCCTCCTCTTTTGAAGTCATTTAGTTTGGTTTAAATCCTGTGCTGTTATGAGTTGATTTATTATAAGCATTAATGACTTTATTCATTGATTCCTCCGTAAAATCTCTTTCTTTATTTAAATCTCTAAGGGTTCTAATGAAACGATTAATGATACCTAAAATATTATGGTTATGGTCTTCAGTCGTATAATGTGTAACGTTATGTTTAATCAAAAATTCTGTAATTTCATTACTGAGGTATGCTGAATCCTGCTCTGAAGTTAATGAAGTAGGATGATGTTCTGCCACAAACGTCTGCAAAACTCTTAAAACTTCTTTTGTTCCTTTATTTTTCATTATATACGCAAAAGCTTTTCGTGTATTAACATTAATGAAAATCAAAAATGGTGGCTTTCTTCCTTTCTTACTCTGAACGAGTGTATCAAATTGATATGCATCATGGGTTTTAGAATAAATTGGAAGGTAGTAGTCGTATGGATTAACTTTAACCTGATGAACTATATTTTCATCATAAAATCTCTTAATTTCTGTTCTATCATTAAATCCCGCATTCTTTGCAGCTTCATAGAATTTTTTAAATGACCTCCACGGCGATGATTCGAAAACTTCTTTTAAGCTCATTTATGTAAAAATAAATTTAGTAATTTCATGCTGTTCTAACCCATGCATAAACTGTAATATATGGTGACATATAATCTGCACCCGAACCAATTGTATTAGTTGTGAAAGTGTGTGAATGATTACCATTCCATGTTGTTTTGTGCTGAACTACTTTTGATGTATATTCTGTTGGAGAATAAACATTATCGCTGTTATAATCTTTTTGCCATTGATTTAAGAAACTACCATCAATAGTATGTTGATGGTCTCCAGAATCACTTGTCGTTCTTGTATGCTTATGTGGTGGAAGATTTGCTTCAGTAATTTTCTTTGAACCACCCGTTTGATTTGATGAATTAGCACAGTATAAGAATTTATCTACAATCTGCTGCCATGTACCAAAACCTAAAACACTTGCCGGATTTGTTGAATTCATTGATGTATATAAAGAACCAACAGGATATATAGCTTGTAATATTTCATTCTTCATACTTGCAATTGCATTTGTTGCATTAGTTCTAAATTCATCGAAACCATCAAGAATATTAGTGAGATTATTATATTCCACATTTTTTTGACCAGGTAACTGATGATGTAATTGAATGTCATTAACTGTTAATGAATCGATATTCGAAAATCTTTCATTTATTTTACCATTAACTGCATCATTCATTTCCGACTTCTTCGCATAATTTTCATTGACCCATTCCCTCGTCCACTCTGTATAATCTATTGCATTGTTCTTAGCATATTCTGTTTTTTCATCTACATAAGTTTTGTCGGCTTTCTTATCTAACATTGCTGGTAGTTCATATGTTTCAAAGTTTCTGACATGACCTTCGATATTCGTACATTTACTATCTAAACTGTTAAGCGTGTCTTTTACGCTAGTGCTTAGATTTTCTAAAGGTGCACTTGAACCCAAATCAAAGTTCAGTATTATGTCGTCTGCTCTAACAGTTGTGAAGGATTCATATGTATGGTTCTTGTCTGCTTTACTGTCTAATGAAGTTTGAAGTGAATTTATGTCGTTATGTTCTGTTATTAAATCACGCCTTAAGTTTACTATTTCTTGATTTAACTCAGGGTACATATGATTTACATCAGCTTTACTTTTAATCGCATCTTCAACAGTTATTTTTGACTTAACCATCAAAGTAAATCTTGGTTCAACTAATACATCGTTAATAAAGAAGTATGAAGCATAAATTTCATCGTTATAATCAAATGCTTCTGGTGCTTTACCTGTTGTATCATAATTTATAACACATCTTATGTCATAACCTTCAGCACGAATGAATTTATATCTTCTTTCATTAACATCTTCCGTATTCACTTCTTCATCCTGTGTTAAATATCCATGATAGTTCGTTATAATCTGTTCATCTGAACTTATATAATGAACATAGTCTTTATCTGCTTTACTATCTAATTTCTCATTAACATCATTCACTTCTAATTCAACTCTTCCGCCAGAACTCTTATTATCATTAATCTTTTTCATTAATTCAGTAATTACATCATAAAGACTATATTCTGTTTTCGGTTCTGTAAATAATGAGTCGAAATTTCTTTTCATCATTACATCGCGGGTCCGAACCAAAGTAGCCTACAAATTGAGAGGAAACTTTGGTCGCAACTATGAATACAAAGTATATTGACCTATGACATATACCATATATCAGTACATATACCCCACATATATATATATCACTTTGACCCATAATTTCGTTATTGATAAAATAATTATTTTTAAAATCACATTAAATTTCAATATTCTTTTCTACAATGAAATAACTCTTTATATAGGTATATATAACAGTAACAGATTGTATCAATATGTATTATAGTAGTGCATTAAATTTTTGGTCACATCAAAAAAATGTGTCCAAATGTGTTAAATCGGTTAGAAAGCATTATATTGATATATACATATGATATCCATACGTGGATAGCATGTAGATATATTGTATATTGAGATATTTGAGAAATGATTAATGATGTGCTAAAAATTTGTGTGTTTTAGAATATTTGCGTATTGATATTAAATTTATTAGTGTAATTGATATCAAATGCATATGAATGAGTTAAGTATAGAGAGATTTTTCGGAATCTCCAAGATATTCGCATCAAAAAAAGTTTCGTTAATTTTGATAAATGTATATGTGTGTTATTTGTTATATTATATAGATGCATGTTATGTGTATTAGAATGAGTGTTCTTGAGTATTCATTGAGATATTAGCACATCAAAGGTGAAAAAAGTGACGTTTTTCCGAGCAAACCTTGATGCTACAAATTCTATGGTTATCAGCTCTATTCTTAATTTTGCATAATAGATAAATATATAACTATTAGTAATATGTGGTATATTAAGATAGGCTCAATATTAACTATCAAAAAATTCCGTACGTGGAGCACATCAAAAGCATTCAATTTTTATTATATCTTATGAGGGTGATGTGTTATGAGCTTATAATATATATGAATAATATCTATATATATGTCCAAATATGTGATAAAAGATTGAGGCTTGTTGAGTTAGTTTTGAGGTGTGATTAAAATGCAATCAGCACATTACACATAAGCTTATATAATCTGAGTGTATTTTGAATATATTGAGTAAAATATTTTATTTTGTGATGTGTATTATGAGTTTGAGCTATTTTTTGAGAAAATATAATTTATATCGAAAAAAATGTTTGTCTGTTTGTACTCATTTTGTTATAGATATCTTATATTAATATATGCTTTTTATTTATATAATAAAAGTTGTGTGTTTACTATTTATTTTTTGAGATTCTATGAGAAAAAAGGTGACATTTTCCCGAGGGAATTTTGATCGAGCGAATTTTGTGTGTGAGTGTGATGAGATTGAGATCACAGCTGAATATAATATATCACTATATATACTAGTATGCTATCATATGCTATAAGTGTGTAGGCTCAATATCCACAGAGATATAAATGTGTTTTTGTGATTAAAAAAGACGATTATTGGGGGTCAAAAAACGATTATTGTGAGTTATGTGAGTGAGCTATATATATGAAGTATATGTATGAAATATAGAAAACATCATATAGTATAACATATTATATAGCGCCGTTCCGGACAGCACCAAGTGGTGCTGTGGAACGTGCACAACGAAAAAGTACAAAGGAATTATTTAAGACCGATACAAATGGTCCTACCCCTACATTTTCATATATAAGGATTCATTTTATATTATTTGTTTAGAGTTCTATGGAAATTTCGCATAATATCATGAGATTCGCTCAAACTCAGATTTCGCTAATTCATATATAGGATGATTACATATGTTATATATTATCATATTACACAACTTAAATTGATATTAAAATATTATTCACTGAGTTATTATTTAAAAAACGTTATTTTTATGTGACGAAATTTTCAACGGAGCAAAATCCTATATATTACATCTATATCAAAGAACACACTTGAATATGTTTGTATACTTCCTTATATATATTATTCATAGCACGTCTCTTTCAAATACACTTACCTATAGAGTTATTTATGAAAATCTCATTCCATCTGCATCATTTTTCCATTATATTTTCCGTAAAATGCGGTGTAAACTACACAATTCCCCGCTTGGGACGGAAAGAATTGTGTAGCCTCACACACTTATCATATACAATTTGCTATCGTATAAAACGAAAAAGCAAACTAATCCTAATATATCTATAATGTAATCTAAGATTTGACACTTAATATTTGATATCGAGATTTGAGATATGTTAAACAATTTTTAATTTTGTAATAGAATACTTTAGTAAATACTTTTCAAATTATAATCATAATATAAATATTCGGAATATTCAATTCTATAGCTTAAAAATTTAAAACAAATGTAAAAACATAATATTGCGGGGATACTAGAATGCACCAAGTTTTCTTAGTTGATAATTATATTGTTTATAGAATTTTTGTGAAATTTTTGTTTAAATAATTTGAATTAGAAAAAAAATTGGGGATTGAATGGATCTTTGAATGGTTTTATACTACATTGGTATTATATTAATAGATTAAGGAATTAGACAATGATGTTTAAAATTAATTGAAGAATTATTTTAAAAAATTGTGTTTTTCGAGAAAAGAGGTTAGAGTAGTATGGCTATCGTCATAGCCATACTACTCTTGTTGCATGCTAAGATCAGTCATAATGTAAACCTCTCAATTTTATTGTCGTGGGAAGTATCTCAATTCCTTCAAAAAAATTGAAAAACTATTTAATTTTAAAAATATAATACTTTTAATTAGTTAATTAATTGGAGATATTTTTAAAAAATCACTTTTGATAATACTTTTGAGAACTTTAATTAAAAAATATATTCAAAAATATCCAGGATATCAAGAGGGAATTGTTCCTTATGAGGTATATAGTTATGATGTATACCTCATAAGGAACAATTCCCTCCTTAAAACGAGAAAACTTGTTCGAAATTGTTTATCATTTCGAACAATTTTTCTCGTTTTTAATAGGAAACTAAAGGCTATGAGGCACTGATTATATATTAGTGCCTCATAGCCTTTAGTTTCTAATAGATAGCTGGGAAACTTTCTCCAAATGATAAGTTATTCAGAGAAAGTTTCCCAGCTATCAAGAGGGAATTGTTCCTTATGAGGTATATAGTTATGATGTATACCTCATAAGGAACAATTCCCTCCTTAAAATCGTAGACATTTTTATACTTATTAATCAACCATTCAAAATCATATTCCTCTGAAAAGTTATTTTATTAAAAATTTAGAATTTTAATAAATATAGAGTTTGAATTTCATACAATACCTATATATTTTCAATAATGGAATTTGAAAACCATTCTCAAAAGTTCTCAGAAAACCTTTTTTTTTTCATTAATTTTAAGAAATCTGAGTATTAAATTAAGTGATAAATTCGTTTGACACTACTTTAATTTTTAAATTCAAAAAATTATATGTGCTTCTTAAAATGACTCAAAAAAATTTATTATAAAATAATATATAATATTAAAAATCCCACAACATTTTTTAATTTACATAATCGTACTTCCTCGACGATTAATTTCCACTCAATTTCTATCGTTGACCGAACTTAGCATGCAACACTCTAACCTCTTTTCTCGAATTTTGTTTTTCAAATTACATTCTTTTTTAAAAAAGTGTGTTTTTCGAGAAAAGAGGTTAGAGTAGTATGGCTATGACGATAGCCATACTACTCTAACCTCTTTTCTCGAATTTTGTTTTTCAAATTAAATTCTTTTTTTAAAAAGTGTGTTTTTTGAGAAAAGAGGTTAGAGTAGTATGGCTATGACGATAGCCATACTACTCTAACCTCTTTTCTCGAATTTTGTTTTTCAAATTACATTCTTTTTTTAAAAAGTGTTTTTTTGAGAAAAGAGGTTAGAGTAGTATGGCTATGACGATAGCCATACTACTCTAACCTCTTTTCTCGGATTTTGTTTTTAATATCTCATTTCTACTTTATTACATAATTTAACCTACTTTATTCTTTTACCAGACCTTCTGCTCTTATTACCATTACGCTATACCTTCATTACTCATATTAACTCTTCATTATTATCTTAATAACATTTAATCTTTTTTAAAAATTATTATATTTCTATTAACACATTCGGATAAAATCATATAAACCCAATACTATTTAGATTTATCGACTCAGAAAATCTTAAAATTCTTATTTTATCTATCAAATCGTAATTTTTATAATCATTTTTTGATTTACAAATTTTTTTTGGAATTTGATTTCATGGATTTTCTCATAATTTGTGATAATAGTGATAATTTCGTATCATAAAAATATGGCAGTCCCAACGGGAACCGCGGTAATTTACCGAGGTTTCCGCACACAGGTTCCTTTTTTTAGGAATTTTTTAGATTAAAAAATATGCTTTGTAAATCATTTTTTGTAAATCAGCAAAAATTTGGAAATATTCTGACGACAATAAATCTGGGAATAGTATTTTAAATACGAGAACAACCTATTTAAAAGTGTTTCGCTCGATTTTGTATAATTTCAAATTTTCGCATATAGCTTTCCGTGAATTACCGTGATTTTACCGCCACATCAATAGTTTACGACACTTTTTCCGTAAAATTGAGTTACGGGAATCTGTAAGATTACCGTACCTCACTTCTAGTTGAAAATAGCATTAGTATATAATAAATAGATATATTATTCATATTTTTGATTTTGAATTACGGAAAAAGTGAGTTCAGAACTTCCAATTATTATTTGATTAATTATGTTAAAAATACTATAAGGAATTAAAATACATAATGTTGAAATTTGAATTACGGAAAAAGTGAGGGTGAAAGTGAAGTGAAAAAGTAAGATATTTTTTTGTTGAAATAATCATAGTTGTACAATTTTGAAACTATATGTAAAGCTATAAATTGAATAAATTCAAAAACAAAAATTGTTTATTCTTATTAATAAATTTATATTAATCAATATTTGAACAACCCGTAATTAAAATTGAATTCCTCTTAAAATTTAATCCATACGTTAATTTTTAATTTGCTCGGCGAATGCCGAGCTTCCCTACTTCTCTTGTCATTCCTTCAAAAACTCTAATCTCATCGCACTTACAAACATCATGATTTGATGTATTGTCGAGAAATCTTAGACTTGTTTGTCATTTGATTATAGCATTTGAAAGTCATCTCGAAAATCGATTAACAAGACAATTTCCCAAACATCTACATACAAGTAGATGATGATAAACCCATTAGAGTTGTTTTGCTATGATTCCTCCAATCTTATGATGAGAAAAATCATATCAAAACAGCTCTAATCGAACATTCTACACAGCTTAGCATCCAGATAGTTCCAAGTAATGCGATTACAACATCAACGGCCAAAGCCTTTCAGAGTCCTTTAATCATTTCTTCTCATCTCAATGTGAAGTGGCCCCAAACGAACTACAAGCTGACGTTACAACGCATTACAACCCGGTTAATACGAGCATATACATTAGAGCTGCTTTGTTATGATCTCCCTCATCAATTGATGAGAGATCTCATTATGAAGCAGCTCCAATCGAACTAAAAACCTACATACAAATGAGTGAAAACAAACTCATTAGAGTTGTGTTGCTTTGATTTCTCTCATCAGAAGATGAGAGATACCAGAACAAAACAACTCTAATCAAACTTTCTACACAACTCAGCACAGTATCAATGCAAAGTAATGCGTCTGTATCGTTAACAAGCAAAGTTGTTTCGGGTCCTTCCATTTTGGAAGAATTCGGAACAACTTTGCGAATTGATAGTGTAAACCCATATACATGAAAGCGTGCATGCATAAAGACAGGTATTGTCAGCAATGACTACCTGCCCAGCTATGAGTGATCAGAGAATTACCATCTCAGGCTTTTTGAGAACGTTTCAGCCAGGACCCTCGTATGTTGACTGTGAGAAAGGCATCCTTTATCTGAAATAGATGCTTTTCCAACAATCAAATTCGAAGATCTTCGACGTTGTTGTAAAAAGAGAAGGAGAAGGAAAGGAAAAGAAGAAAAAGAAAAAAGAAGGACATATTAAATATAATGCGCACTTAATAGTGCCGAGGCGGCGGAGCCGCCGAGGCGCGATTTTTTTGACCCTATATTACCGCACGGCAATGTTTTTCTCGATTTTGTACAGCCCTACATAAAAATATCAAATATGCCATTTTACATATTAGTCATTTGAATTTAGATTAATTTTTTTTACATTATTCACATATTCACAAATCCAACAATGTATCATGTTATCATACATATTAGATCCTAAAAACTCAATAAACACACTATATAACCCATAAATTATTTCGAAATTTCAAAGTATACAGTAAAATTAAGCTTAATTCTTAAAATAACACCGAACAAATCTTATCTTAGGTGTATATACGAAGTATCCATATAATATATAGTGTAAATCTCATTAAATTTTAAAAAGATCTTATTTTGTAATAAAAAACACAATATGATGCCAATTTTATACGATGAAATCCATTTACTCATAATTTAAATACGACTAAACATGCTATTTTCTATACTTTCACAATTTTTTAAATTTGATATTTAATATCAAATTCAAAATTTGAAATTTCATAGTGATTCATTTCTACTCAATATATTAAGTTAGTGAGTCTATACATTTTTTGGATTAAATGAGTTAAAGTCCGATTTATTTATTTGCCGTATGTCGGGAAAAAGTCTATGTAAAATACGCGATAATACGGAATGCATTTTGGAAAACGCATCATTCACAGATATATGAAATTAGATAATAACTTGACAAATAGATATGATATAAATGTGATTCAAGGTTGATATATACTAGTGATAAGTGCTTATTTTAAGTAAATGATAGTTACTTCAAAAACACCAATATTAAATGATTCTCTCCGTTTGAAATTTCGTCACATAAAAATAACGTTTTTTAAATAATAACTCAGTGAATAATATTTTAATATCAATTTAAGTTGTGTAATATGATAATATATAACATATGTAATCATCCTATATATGAATTAGCGAAATCTGAGTTTGAGCGAATCTCATGATATTATGCGAAATTTCCAGAGAACTCTAAACAAATAATATAAAATGAATCCTTATATATGAAAATGTAGGGGTAGGACCATTTGTATCGGTCTTAAATAATTCCTTTGTACTTTTTCGTTGTGCACGTTCCACAGCACCACTTGGTGCTGTCCGGAACGGCGCTATATAATATGTTATACTATATGATGTTTTCTATATTTCATACATATACTTCATATATATAGCTCACTCACATAACTCACAATAATCGTTTTTTGACCCCCAATAATCGTCTTTTTTAATCACAAAAACACATTTATATCTCTGTGGATATTGAGCCTACACACTTATAGCATATGATAGCATACTAGTATATATAGTGATATATTATATTCAGCTGTGATCTCAATCTCATCACACTCACACACAAAATTCGCTCGATCAAAATTCCCTCGGGAAAATGTCACCTTTTTTCTCATAGAATCTCAAAAAATAAATAGTAAACACACAACTTTTATTATATAAATAAAAAGCATATATTAATATAAGATATCTATAACAAAATGAGTACAAACAGACAAACATTTTTTTCGATATAAATTATATTTTCTCAAAAAATAGCTCAAACTCATAATACACATCACAAAATAAAATATTTTACTCAATATATTCAAAATACACTCAGATTATATAAGCTTATGTGTAATGTGCTGATTGCATTTTAATCACACCTCAAAACTAACTCAACAAGCCTCAATCTTTTATCACATATTTGGACATATATATAGATATTATTCATATATATTATAAGCTCATAACACATCACCCTCATAAGATATAATAAAAATTGAATGCTTTTGATGTGCTCCACGTACGGAATTTTTTGATAGTTAATATTGAGCCTATCTTAATATACCACACAATATTACTAATAGTTATATATTTATCTATTATGCAAAATTAAGAATAGAGCTGATAACCATAGAATTTGTAGCATCAAGGTTTGCTCGGAAAAACGTCACTTTTTTCACCTTTGATGTGCTAATATCTCAATGAATACTCAAGAACACTCATTCTAATACACATAACATGCATCTATATAATATAACAAATAACACACATATACATTTATCAAAATTAACGAAACTTTTTTTGATGCGAATATCTTGGAGATTCCGAAAAATCTTGGACATTTTACATCAAACATATACAGAACAAATATACTATTAAAATAAATTATATTCACATTGTCAAATCAAATTTGACACATTTTTTTAAGATATCGAAATTCGTTTTTATAAAAACACATGCAACGAACTAAAATCACTTATATATCTACTAAACATATATTATACATACATATACACACTCAAAACACACTCAACATTACTCACAAACATAGATATATTTTGTATCATATACCTAACTATTAAACTAAGTGTGTCTAACTACATCAACATAATATTTATTATCTATAGATGATATAAACATCAACAAAACATAGTGTTACCGTTCATAGCAAATTTAATGCAAGCTCAAATATAGGGTAAATATTAATATATTGATTTGATTACATGAATGAACTACACTATGGGTGGCCTATCTGGTGGTATCACTCATTGGTGCTGATAACTTTTATAGATGTCTGTGACCAAACTTTCCTCTCAATTTGTCGGCTACTTTGGTTTCATCCCCTCATAACTCGCTCATCATCCCTCATTCTACCTCATCCAACCTCATAACTCGCTCATCATCCCTCATCATCCCTCACAACTCGCTCATCATCCCTCATTCTACCTCATCCAACCTCATAACTCGCTCATCATCCCTCATCATCCCTCATAACTCGCTCATCATCCCTCATTCTACCTCATCATCCCTCATAACTCGCTCATCATCCCTCATCATCCCTCATAACTCGCTCATCATCCCTCATTCTACCTCATCCAACCTCATACCTCGCTCATCATCCCTCATCATCCCTCATTCTACCTCATCCAACCTCATAACTCGCTCATCATCCCTCATCATCCCTCACAACTCGCTCATCATCCCTCATTCTAACTCATTTTACCTCAGACATGCTCATCATCTCTCATCATCCCTCAGCCGATCTCATTCTACCTCAGAACTCTCTTATTACATATTATTCTTACCCCTAACTTTGTATTGTCAGAATAAAAACTTTATTTTTAATAAATTTCAATTTTTATTTTTTCTCATTTTATATTCTTATTTTCTATACTATAGATAAAAATACTCAAATAACTCTATTAAATACATCATATCTCTCTATTCTAATCTTTAATTAAATTATATATTTCAATTTTAAAATGAAAATTGCATAGAAGAAAGAAAAGAAAGAAAGGAGAAGAGAAAGGAAAAGGAGGAAAAGAAGAAGAGAAGGAAAAAAAAGAAAAAATAGGACATATTTGATGATTCGGCGATTTTTTTTATATTCACTTGCGAACGTGGAGCTCAGACCTCTCGCTTCGCTCGAGCCTTCACTCCACGTTCGCGCAAAATTTTTAACACGAAAAACCGCTTTGTCCGAGGGTCAAGGCAAAAACGTCACTTTTCCAAAGCATATTGTCAATTCATGGCTTCAGGACTTCAAGGATGCCCTTTACAAGAAATTGTTATTCATCCAGAGAATCCTTATTATAAGACAGATGGTCAGACAGTTTTCAGCGGTGATAACAATAAAACTCTTTATTATCTTTCACCAAAAAAGCAAGGAGAATACATAGTTCCTTCATTTGTTACAAGAATTGGCCAATCAGCATTCAGAGGTGGCAAACTTTCTAAGTTGATTATGGGAGACCAAATAACATTTATAGATACATTTTATCTTTGCGGCAATACAATATCAGCGATCATTTTACCAAGCTATATCACAACAATTCCTGATGGAATGTTCTGGGGTTGTTGGAGATTAAGCTCGATAAATTTGCCTGATTCAATCACTCAAATTGGCACTTATGCCTTTATTTCATGCAGTGGACTTAGCAACACCCAATTGCCAAATAGATTAACAACGCTAGGCAATAACGTTTTTGAATCTTGCTCTAGTTTAAGGAAAATCACATTGCCAAAAAATTTAATAAACATTGGAAGCGGAGTATTCCAGGGAATAAAACAAATCAATATCACATCATTGAATCCTGATATATTTGTCGATGGATTTCAAATGTATAAAGATCGCAATCAAACACTATTTACATACTTAGGTGTCGATTCAGATTATGATGTGACCGTATTAGGAAGTTGCACATCAATTAGTTCAGGTACATTTTCTAGTAAACAACTCCGAAATGTTTATTTCTCGAGTAATATTAACATCTCATTTGGTGATGATTCATTTCGTTTTTCATCAGTTAAATCAATCATTTTCCCACCTGGTTTGAAAAATCTTGGATACAGATCATTTGGAAATTGTGATGGTCTTTCAAGTGTTACATTTCAAGGTAATCAAATCACCACAATTCCAGAATTATGTTTCGAATCATGTCAATCACTAAGTGATATTACTCTCCAAAATCAATAACACAAATAGGATCATCCGCATTCAAGGGATGCATATTACTTGTTGATATTGGATTATCAAGATTATCTAATCTTCAAATTATTTCTAGTTATGCATTCCAAAATAGTGGTCTTACAACTGCTGTTCTCTCGAACACAATTCAGACAGTTGGTGTTAAAGCATTCACAGAATCATCTATTGTAGAGTTGACAATAAATTGTATGATTGATAATGATCTTTGCAAATCATGTAGGATGCTAAAAACATTAACACTCGATGAAGGCGTAACAAGCGTTGGCCCTTATGCCTTCTCTGGATGTTCATCACTTACAGGATTCACGATTCCTGGGTATCTGAGGAAAATATATGATTTTGCATTTGAGTCATGCTCATCTTTATCATATGTGGGAATGGTTGCAAATTGTAACTTGGAATCTGTTGAAGGGGGATGTTTCTATGGGTGTGTCAAACTGAAGTCTATCAACTTGAGCATATATAAATAAAATTGTTTTAAATTACTTCTTCATTTAAATTATAACAATTATTTTTGATTTTATATTTTTTTGGATCAAATCCATTTTAATAGAATTTATATACTATTCATCTATTAGTAAACACTACCGTATATTATTTTTTAAGCTATCTTATTTTTTGAACTTTTATTCAAATCTTTGGTCGCAAGAAGAATTGCATGATAAATAAAAACATTTAATCAAAGTCAATTTTATTTTTCATATTTAAATGGACTGAGTGTTAACATTTAACATTTTTTGCTAATTGTCGTCAAAAATTAGGCGTAAAGCAAAAATTGATATTTCATATGGTTTTATGATAGATAAGCATTATATTCCCACTCATTATATTCGTAAATTTTGAGGTTTATCCTTCGCTTTTAAGATCATTGATTTTGATTTTTATATAAAATAGTTATATATTAGAAAATAATATGAGTTTATGTGATATTATTTTTCAGAAGATTTTGTGTTCTTCTTCAAAATTTTATTTTTTTTATTAAAAAGAATATTTACAAAATATACATTTACTTTAATTAATATTTAAAAACGTGCTCTATCAAAAGTTCCAAAAATTCAATATTTTAGCTTTTCTGAGGTGTCACTTTTGATGAATTTCTGTTTACAACATAATAAATAAAAAGTTATTAAAAAATTCATAAAATAACAATAGTTGATACTTACTTTTGGAAGCGGATTGAAATAAATAATTGAATGATCTGTAACGGTTGATGAAAGACCTAATTCTAAAGACGGCAAATTATGATTTTGAATATTAAAATATTCTAATACATCCATTTTAAAAAATTGAAAGCCAATTCTTTTAACACTCGGATGAATTAAAATAAATTTTATCATAGAACTAGCACATAATGCACCATCTGCAATGAATTCAACAAAATTTGGAATGATTAAATATGTTTCTCCATGATTACCTGGATAAACAATCAAAGTTTTCAAATTTGATGAATAGACAATACCATCAACATCAGTAAAATATGGATTTTCTTTATCAACATAAATAGCTTTCATATATTTACCATTGTCAAAAGGATTAGCTATTAATTTTGTTACACTTTTTGGAATTGTAAAATACTCAACTTGAGTCCCCGTAAGTAACCCGTCATTAAATATTTGGACTTTATCATCAAATGTAACATTTATTAACTGAGAATATGATTTGAAAGGACTATTTGTTGTTGATGTAAAGCCTTTTAGATATAATTTTTTTGCATTTTGGTTCTGGGTTAGAACAGGAAGTTCGCCCGAACCTATTACTGTATAACAATCTTCCTCACCACAATTTTCAAATCTCGGATTAGAAATTTTTCAGATTAATTAAACCTTTTCCTATTTTATGCTTTTTGAAATAAAAAGTGACAATATATTTTATGATTCTGTAACAAAAAAGTAGTTATTCTAATTTGAAACTGAGAACATATTTTTTATTCTGAAATTAAATAAAATGTAATATATTGAAAATCCTTAATGAAATAGTGGCATGTAGTTTTGGATATTTGCATTGTGTTCTGAAAAATAACCTCACATATTAAAAAATTGACTGCATGGTGATACAATCTATCTGTATTTGAAAATAAACAGTTTTCATTAGGAATATTCGTAAAAATTGTTTATGATAAATCAAAAGTACAGTTAGAAAATGATATTGTTCCTGTTGTACCAATTACAATTACTGAATACAAAAAAATATTTACAATAATTGTTACTTGAATAGTAGCGAATTCCACATAAAGTTGGAGTTGTTTTGGCATATAGTAAATTAACATATTCTATTGTTGAAGAATTTGTTGATTCAAAAGAAATAATTGTATTCTTTCCTGAAGAATTTGTATTCTGAACAGGCACCTGAATTGTCATAAATGTTCCATATTCAGAGTAATCATTTGAATTATAGGAGAATGTTGAATTAAAAAATTTGAAATTCATAAATGTATATGCACCATTCCAAAAGGAATGATAGGTCGATTTAGCATTAAAAGATGAAAAATATTCATAATTCATGTTATAAGCTAGATGTGATTGAGTTACTGCATTTCGAGGCGATTCATTTTTAAAAAAATGCATTTTTCAATGTTATATCATTATTTGCACAATATATACAACCACCACGCTCAGAAGCTGAGCATGATATAAAAATACAATTATTGATTTTAAAAACCATGCTTGTAATTGTAAAAAGTGCTTGGCCGATCATTTACTTTTAATTCTAGACTTTCACATAGAAAATAAATGTTTTATTATGCTTTTTTTATATTGTGTAAAATTTCATTCTCATTGAAATGATTAAATACTTTAACGGTGCACTTTCTACTTTTTGATATTCGCATCCAAGCTTTATATCATAATTTTCCAAGGTAAAAAGTTAATATTCTTGTTTTTGAAAAGGTTATTTTAATTTACTATTTAGTAACTAATCAAGCTATTATACTTTTCTGCCATTTCAATAAAAATATCAACATTTATTTTACTTGAGATAAGCAAACGATAAAAAAGATTACAATTATTTTCAACCAAATAATGAAACAGTAAAAAATAAAGCAATATTCATGTTTAATATAAAGTAGCCCATATGAATTTGGGAACAAATATGTAAAGGATTAAAATGAAAAATTGAATAATCTTTGTTAGAATATGGAGAGAGTCCAATTTCTAAATAGGAAGCATTATAATTTTGAACCTCAACGTATTCAATTGAATCAAATTTGTAAAATTGAATTCCAATTCTCTTCACATTTGGAGGAATTAAAACATATTTAATCAAAGAACTAGCAGCAAATGCTCCGTCAGCTATAGATTCAACAAAACTTGGTACAGTAACATAAGGCTCGCCATGATTTCCAGGATAATATAATAATCTTTTTAAATTTTTCGAGTAAACCACTCCATTTATATCGGCAAAATTAATATTTTCTTTATTAACATAGATGGCTTTCATGAATTGACCATCATCAAATGGGTTTCCAACAAGAGTCTTGGCATTTTTTGGTATCGTAAAATATTCAACAGCAGTTCCATATAATAAAAAGTCATTAAAAGTAATTAACTTATCATCAAATGATATATTCTGTAAATTAGGATAATGTTGGAAGCATTTTTCAGTTGTTGATTCATATCCTTGAATAAATAGTTTAACTGCATCAGTATGCTCAGTTAATATAGGTAGAACTCCTGTTCCATTTACAATATATGAGTTATCTTCACTTGTTCCTTGAAAAATTTCCTCTTATAGTAATTTTTAAAAAGCAAATATTGTCACTTTTTATAAATTGGTTCTGAAATCAGAGATAGTCCTCAAGAATAACTTTACTTAGTAAAAACAGTTCGAAGGTTACCATAATTTGAATAAATACGTTTCATACAATTATACAACTTCATTAAAATACATTATTTAAAAATCAAAAAATCACACAGAAGTATCTTGAGTAAGGACATTCTTCAGAATGTCCATCATGTTGTTCACAACTTATTTATTCACTTGTTTCAATAATATTAATGATTGATTGATAATTAATATTCCATATGAGAAGTGAACTAAAAACATTTTACGATTGTCAGATTATACTTTAAACAATTCTATTGCAAGTTAATATCAACAAATTGATATTATTTATTCATTTCAAATAGTTATTCAGCCAAAATTTTATTAAATACAGAAGAATTGATATACAATCATATCGAAATGATAAAATGCAAAGAACAAACTGAGTGTTTAAAAATAATACAATATCGACAACTTATTTTTGGAAGAGGATTGAATTGAAGAATTATAGAATTTACCGTATCACTAGATACTAAAATCTCTAAAGATGGTAAATTTTTATTTTGAATGTTAACAAATTCCAATTTTTCCATTCGATAAAATTGAAATCCAATTCTTTTTACATTTGGATGAATTAGAATATATTTAATGATGGAACTCGTAGTAAACGCATTATCTTTAATCTATTCAACAAAATTAGGAACGGTGACATATTCTTCTCCATGATTTCCAGGATATACATACAATGTTTTCAAATCTTTTGAATATAGAATGCCATTAATATCAGTAAAGTAAGGATTAGCTTTATCAACATATATTCCTTTCATATAAAATCCATTGTCAAATGGATTTAACTTCAGATTTTTTACATTTTTTGGAATTGTAAAATATTCGACTTTAGTTCCTGAAAACAAACCATCTCCAAGAGATTGCATTTTATCATCAAATGTAACATTAACCAAATTAGAGTATGAATATAATGGAAAATCAGCTGTCGAAGAGAATCCTTTAAAATATAATTTGACAGCGTTAGTGTATTGATTTAATATTGGGAGCTCTCCAGAACCAGTCACAATATAACAGTTTTGTTCTGATCTTAGGTTAGAAATTTAAATGAGAATCTAATGACCAAACTTCTCCTATCGTCATTTATGCAATTTTAACGAAATACCCCGTACTTATATATTATAATTTGCCTGTATTAAAAAATATTCATGTATAATATCCACATATATTGCCAATTGGGCAAATGCGTTAATACTATTGCCCATTTGACACATTTTGAGTGTAAAATGATCGTTAAATTAAAAAAAACTTAATAGAAATGGTTTATTCTATGATAGATCAAAAGTTAACAATTCAAATTGCAAAAAATAATTAATAATCAAATTATTACAAATGTTCGATTTGCAGTATAAAAAGCTCCGATAAGTAATTACTATTTTTCCTGAGCCTTCCCAAACTCCAGGTATGTTTATTTCGTCAGTAAAAAGAAATTGGCTTTGATTTAAAAAATAATATGGTTTTTTTATCAATAAAATTATAAAAAGAATCGTAAACATAAATATCGTTTTGGGGAATGATAGAATTTTTTGTGAGAATAAAGGAACTTCCTCCACCAGCACCACCATTTTGATGTTGGCTTGAGAAACCTCCAAACCATCCTCCCCCAGCACCAACATGGTCAGATGACCCATAAGCATTAATATTGCTATTAGGGTGTTTAGACTTTTCGAATTGACCTGATTCTCCATATCCAAATGAGAAACCAAAAGTGGAATTTGCTACTAAATTATTATAATATGTACCCATATTCCACCATCCTTGCGCTTGTGAACTTCCACCTGAACCTCCAGATCCATCATCTGACCCTAAATACTGTCCATCAGGGGAATCACCTGCACATCCTCCACCACTCACAATTACACGATGCCATAAATCATTTGCGAGGAATTGTACAGATGTTTGTCCCCCTCCACCACTGGAACCTGAAGGCCAGTTGCCACCATAGCCGCCATATCCATAACCTCCAGGGGCCATGTTCTCTTTTTTGAAACAATTTATATTGTTTGATTGGTCAATTACTTTGCCATAAAATCCATGGCCGCCGATAGTGGCATATGCCGTGATTTTTTCTCGAATATTAATTATTCCTGATGTGTATCCACCAGCACCACCTCGGCTGTTTTGATTTCTACAAATAGCATTACCTTTTGATTTTTGGAAAATATTATCATGCAAACATGTTCCGTTTCCAAACTTGAATAGACTAATTCTGTTTTCTGGTGATCCACCAGATGCCCCATATAGTTCAAACTTATAATATCCAGGAATTAAATCAAATTTATAATCTGTACAATCAATATTGCTAGAACATGGATAGTTTAAAGTATATTTATTCTCAAATTGATCATACGAGATATTTGGGGATCCTTTTGTTGAATCTAAAACTGAAAATTTTATCAATTGAAATTAACTCATAAAGGCAGATCTCCATCTTATTCTTATAAATTTATACTTATAAAAATGATGTGTAAACTGTTGAACAGACTAGAAATTGATTTTGACAATTTATAAATGTCACTTTTCTAAAGTTATCTGATGTTTCCTTGTAGATTTCATGCATATTAACACTTTAGTGCGAAATCAATAATGAACCTTGAGTTTATATATCAGATTAAAGCGTTAAGACATATTGAACATGATTTCAATTTAATCATTGAATACATTTTAAACAGACTCTGTATCACTATTATAAAAGACTTGACTTTGGTTATAATGGACCAAATTATTATACTTCTACCCCATATAATGTAACATTAAATAATGGGAATTATTTATTTGAATTGTGGGGGGTGTTCGAGTGGAAACTATCCATCTAGCTCTGATTTAAATCCTTCTTCACCTGGTGCATATGTTAGAGGTCAAATATCTCTATCATCAGAATACACATTTTATTTGCATGTTTGTCATCAGGGAGAACATGAGATGAAATATTATGCATATGGTGGAGGAGGTCCTGGACAGCAAGGAGGTGGTGGAGCAACCGATATTAGATTAAAACCAGGAAAATACGAAGATTTTGATTCATTGAAAAGTCGAATCATCGTAGCATCTGGTGGAGGAGGTCCTGATACCGACCAAAAAGGAGGTCCTGGAGGAGGTTTATATGGTCATAACAGCACAAATAATTATAGAATGGGAGGGACACAAAATCAAGGAGGAAATGGTTTTATCAAAGGAAAATTTGGAATAGGGGGTGGAAATCCTGACAAAATTAACGGTACCGGAAATGGTGCTGGAGGTTCAGGGTACTTTGGAGGCGGTTCTTCTAATATTTCTACAGATTTTGGCGGTGGTGGTGGGAGTAGTTTCATCAGTGGTTACAAAGGATGTATTGCAATAGCAGAAGAATCAACTGAAAACAATATTTTTCCAATCCAGAGAGAAGATGTTTCTATCCATTATTCAAATCTTAAATTTGATTTTGGTGAGATGATTGATGGCAAAAGTCCTATGCCATCACCATCAGGACCCACAGAAATAGGTCATCATGGCAATGGATTCATTCGTATTACATTTCTTTATAATCTTAATTTTCGATGCTCTTTTAATCTCATAAATTATTTCCTAATTCCAAAGTCATTTTTGATTTACTTAGATATTTTTATTTCTATTAAATAAGATATTAATATGTATATATATTATGGAACTAAAGTACTGAAATCAATTTGTAAAAAAAATATATTTGACACTTTTTACAGGCCTATAAATTTTGTCACCTTTTAGTAATTTCTAGTTGTTTTCACTTTAATAATAATATATGATTATTCATGAATAATCATTTAAGATAATGAAAAAGATCATTTCATATTATGACAGTATCAATCCATTTAATGGAATTTTTCATCAAACTCGTATTGCAAGTTTTCCAATCAAGAATTTTCTTTCTTTTTTCAACAGTTCAAGATACCATGAAAGCCTTTGGTTTGATGTTGATCAAATTATAGACGAACTTGATCATCCGCTAGGATGGGCATCTGATAGTATCCAAGGTTCATATTTTGAAATAACATTTCTCAACTCTTTTCTTGAGATTCATGGATATAGCTTGTGTACACCATCAGGTGACGATGAAATGTTACGAAATTGGGATTTACATTGCATCAGAAATAATCTTTCATTTGTTATTGATACTCATACAAATGACAACACTCTTTGCCCCGAAGCACTTCCAGGCCAAATTTGCGGATATGCTGATAAAAAGCATTTTCCAATAAATAAAGCGTATGTCTGTGACAAAATAAAGCTTGAGATAACCGGAAGAAATAATATTGGAAAATATCATTTGAGCGTTCTTGGTTTTGAACTATTTGGCGTTTTATACATTGGGGAATGTATAACATGCAAATTACTTGCTGCTTACACAAAAAAATTCTTATTTACTTTCCTTATTTCTTTGATTATTTCATAAAAAAATGTTTATATTATATTTGATTCTAGGAGAGTGTTCAAACATATATGTCTGAATGAAATGATAAAAAATGTTGATAGTTCATGTCATCAAATTGAATTATCAGATAGAGTGATCATTTTGCAAAACAATATAAATATAAATGTGATAATTGTGGTATCAAAAAGTATGACAAGAGAATTCTTGATGCTCCTGCTAAATTTAACTCGATAATCAAATTGAAATATTCAATATATATATAAATGAAATATTACTCATTATTCTATGAAATAATTATAGCAAATAACATGCAATACGGCAACAATTGGACTGAAGAATATGCTCGTTGCACACAGCTTGCAATATTTTTAGGAATTTTGGTTGCAATAGGAAAAGGAGTTCTTTCAGGAAGACAACTAGTTAAATTTCTCAAAAAATCAGTTTGCTGCATGAAATATTTCTCTGTGTATTTTGTGTTTGTTTTAAGAATGCAGTTTAAAGGAGCTGAAACATTCAAAAGATGAAATCCACAATATTCTATCGTATGAATCTGTGAATACAAGAACGTATTAGGATCCATATAACTGACAGATGAAGGAATTTTCAAAATTGGTAATTGACATAAACAGAAGATATTGAATGATAGTGAAATCAATGTATCTGGAAGTATGATATTTACTAATTTCATGCAATCAACAAAACTATCAAATGGTAAAACTGTTGCAATTGAACTTGAAAGATCAACAGATTCTAAAAATGGACATGCGCGAAACATTCGACTTCCTAAATTCTGAACAGCAGCATCCAGAACAAAATTAACAAATTTGCAGGAACTCATTGATCCACAATCAGAAATATTCACAACAGTAGGAGCTAATGGTTCTTTCATATCAACTGGACATTTGATTAATGTTTTAAAATCACTGGAATATGCAACACCTCGATAAATAACTATGTCTGGACAGTTACTTTTCAAAACATTAAGCTTTGAAATGCATGACAAAGCACCTTGATCAATAAACTTCAAATTTCTAGGAAATGTAAATTCGGTTATATTAGTAAAGGAAATAAAGAAATGAGGCAAAAATTCTAAGCAATCGGGTAGAGAAACTAAATGAGTTTCATAAAAATGATAAATTCCTTTTGGAACTCTAATTCTCGTTTTAGATAAATCAGCTACTTCTAGTTTGGAATATTGGAAAGCGCATGTACCCAAAATTTCGACTTTTGGGCCTAATGTGATCGATTTTATAGAACAATTATAAAAAGATGAGTCACCAATGCCAATTATTGTATCAGGCAAGATAATTTCAGTGATATTGCATGAATGGAATGCATGTGAAGATATGTATGTAACATCTGTTCCTTCTATCTGTGTAATGACTAATGAAGATTTGAACTCAATGGGAATTGCTGGTGATTTACCATCACCAATATGAACTCCATCGCCGAAAATTTCATAGTATACATTAGGGCTTGTATTTGTTACTGGAATTTAGTCGGATTTATTTTTTTTATAAAAATGTCACATTTTTCATGATTTCAAATGTTCCATATATACTTTATTATACAAATTCATGCAAGAATGGGTGAATATTGTCCCAATAACTAGTCTCAGAGAGAACAAAAAAGTTGTTTATTCTATTAAAAAATCATTAAAATGGGGGTAAATGTAATGGTACTATGGCCGAGTGGTCTAAGGCGATGGATTTAAGCCCCATTACCGCGAGGTGCCTGGGTTCGAACCCCAGTGGTACCATTTTTTCCAAGAATTCATTTTTTTGGCCTTTGATAAATAAAATTTTCTCCTCTTTCTGATTTATTTCAAACAAGAAAATAATACTTCATACAAACCTAAATCAAATTTTTTCTTAATTATCACTTTTTCCTATTTACAATAATGCTTCAATAAATTAACTTTTTCGCCTTGATTCTAATAGAGTATTCTTTCTCCTATTTTCCTTACAAAGAACAATTAAAAATATAATACTTATTTAGCTAAAGCATATGGGTAATTACACTAATCCAGCATTCAATTTACATCCAAAGATAGTTAAGATAAAAAGATATGAAATATCACAATACCAAGAACAATACTTTTTAAAGATTTATCACCAGAACTCTAAAGCCTGTTATTTCAAAGATAGAGTTGAAGCAAATTATTCTTTACGTAAAGATTGCTTTTCGATTATGCGTGAGATTGATGAAAGATTTATGAATAGTAATGAAAGTTCTAAATACTACTCACTCCTTTATGAATTACCTCAGATTCCCAATTTCATCTATTTTCATCAAAGTTTCTATTTTAATGAAACCTACGATAATTCCCATGAAATAAATATAATTGACTATAATGGCGCATGGAAAGGATTTCGAGGTTTTTATACTATATTTATTCTTGATCAAAATATCCTGATCCACCACCAGATCCGGAGATAATAATAATATCATTTATATTATTAGGATATGATATAAAAGTTGCACCACCTCCTGTGCATGAATAAAGTGGATTTGTCGCCATTATTCCGATTGAATTTAATCCTCCTTGATAAAATGCACTAGTAATAGGAGAATTGCTGCATTTACCTTGACTGCCTACATAAATGCTAAGTTCGGTTGTTACAGAAACTTTTAATATCCCTTCAGTATATGCACCAAGACCTGAATTAGGATCATTTTTATATCCACCCTGAGCTCCCCAAACACGAAGTTTGTATCTTCCAGTTGATAATGTTGTGTTTTGGGCGTATCCTTTATATGAAAATGACCGAGTTTCGATAGTCTTAAATAATAAATAAGATAATTAATGGTGTTAATTACGTCTTAAATACTGATGGTTCACGCCATTTGCCATAAATTTGAATTAAAGTCAGATTTAAGAATTCTGATTCGAATATTTTTATTCCACGATTATGGCATAAATTATGGAGTTAATTAAGGTTAAAAATATGTTTTGAAATCATATATAATTTTCTGTCATAACGCAAGGGTCCAACAAAATTTAAATTTTTAGATATTGATTTTAACTTTTTACTTCTATCAAAAGGATAAAACTATTAAAATTGATTTTCATTTTAATACAATTTAAACAAGTTTGACATTCATATGAATCAAGAATAGTAATGATGATTTTACCATGACCGTTCCAGATGCCAGGAACATGAATGACATCTTCAAAAAGATATCCAGAGTGTTTTGTGAATGCATATTCTTTCGAAATGATGTTTTCATAAAACATTTCTGATGCATTGATCAGTCCTTGAGGAATTATTGCATCACTAGTCAATGCCCACGAACTTCCTCCCCCAGCACCTGCTATATCAAGTGATCCATTAATTTGTACTGCGTTGGGGTTCTTTGATTTTCCTAATCTTGCAGCTTCTCCAGAACCGAACGCAATGTATTCATCATGTAATATCCCATCTACAAACCAACTTTGTGCAGTCAAATTTCCTCCAGAACCACCTGAACCATCATCAGTTTTAGCAAATTCACCGTTTTTATCGTCAGATCCGCCTCCACCACCACTTACAAGAACTCTATGCCATAAATCATTTTCGATGAATTTGACAGCGGTTTGACCACCTCCTGAACCAGATCCACAGTCAACAGTATTAGAATCCACACAATAATCTGATGAACTACCACCTCCACCACATCCACCTTTAATTAGATGCTCAATATTGAAGCATGCATCATCCCAATAGCAAATTGAATTATGCGAAAAAATTCCTTGACCTCCAATTGTCAAAAAAGTGGCAGTTAATTTCTTGAGTTTTATCTTTCCAGAGATATAGCCGCCAGCGCCACCATTACTAGACACTTTTTGGCACGCTGTGTTGCCACCATATTTTAAAACAATTTGATCATCAATGCATGAATTATTTTCAAACCGATATGAAGATGCATTATTGATATGTGATCCACCAGATGCTCCATATAGTTCAAATTTGTAGACACCTGGAAGAAAAATAACTTTATAATCTGTGCATTCATCATTCCTTTCACATGGATATTCGAAAAGATACTTATTATTTTCAAGATGTGAATATTTTAACTTTGCACCATCAATTGATGTATTTACTAATGAAACTGATTGCATTCGTTTTCATTATATTTATTGATTCAGAAAATCGTTCAAATAATTGTTCATAATTCTTTCAATAAACATATTCTTTAATAAATGATAGAAATTGAACTTAAATCAATCCCAAATTTTATCCAGACAAAAACTTTAATTGTTTTGTAAAATTAATCAGAAAAAATGTTTCAAATTTATTGTTTAATTTCTAAGACAAAAGCAATATAAAAGTAATTGAAATAATAAAGTTAAAATGATGACATATGAAATTTGCAACAAGAGTTTCGAAATTGGTTTGTTCAATTGAAATTAGACCATCTCCTGCGTGACCTTCTCTTTTGGTTCGATCTGGCTCTGTAATATTTTCATTACCATTTTTGTAAATTATGTTTTGTAAAATATTTTTTGCATAACTACTACCACCACCTCCACCAGCATTATCTGCGCCTCCTCCACCTCCATAATATCCACTTCCCCCTCCTCCAGTTGCAGCACAACAAGAGGAACAAGCATTTCCTCCTTGTAAAAAATTGCCATTTTTTGCAACACATGAGCTGCATGTATTAGGTTGGCCTGGAAATCTGCCACCAATACCTGGATTTTGATTAGTCGCACCTGTCCCATAGAAAATATATGAATTTCTAATTTCTCCAATGCCGTTTCCAGCAATTAACCCGCCATAACCGCCAGGATATTCAATATTCCAATAACCTGATCCGCCGCCTGATCCTGAGATAATCAAAATATCACTCAAATTATAATAGGAGGATATAAAAGTTGCACCACCTCCGGTGCACGATATACGATTTTCATTCGGGCCAATCGAATTTAATCCGCCTTGAAAAAATGTGTTTCTAATAGGTGGATTGCTGCATTGGCCTTGTTGGCCAACATAGATACTAAGTTTTGTTGAAACAGAGACTTTGAGGATACCTTCAGTATAAGATCCAAGGCCAGAACTAGAATTATCGATAAATCCACCTTGTGCTCCCCAAACACGCAGTTTGTATCTTCCTGGTGATAATGTTGTATTTTGTGGATAACCTTTATATGTAAATATCCAAGCTAAAAAAGGAGGATGTTTTATTGTCGTCTGGAAAAGTGACAAAATTATCATTGTCGTCTAAAAATAGATTTTTCAAGCATGTTTCGGTACCTAAATAAAGGAAGAACATCAATTCCATCTATGTATATAGTATGCAAACACGCATGATATATGGAGTAGCTCTTTATCTGGCTAAAAATCCTATTATTTGAAAATTCGCATTGTCGTCTAAAACCGCCAGACGACAATAATAATACCCCCTAAAAAAGAATCCTTCTATAAAATTGAGAGTATTTTCCAAAGCGGATATGAAACAATACAGAGTTTCAATATTAAATATATAATTATAAGCCTTTAAAAAAGACAAATTAGAATCAGGAATTAGCTAATAATAAGAACAAATAGAAGATAAGATGGAAAAGAAGAAAAAGAATAAATATTATGGAGGCAGTTTGGGAAATGCTTTGAAATGGCTGATGATGTAGGGAAAGGAGTTCGTTCTGGAAAACAGCCGGTTAGTTCTTTAGAAAAAATTGTTTGTTGTAAGAAATATCTATTTGGATAAATTGTATTTGTCTTGAGAATAGAATTTGAAGGAGCAGTAACATTCAAAAGATATAGTCCGCAGTACTCTATTGTTCCAACATCAGCCGACAAAAAAGTGTTTGGATCCAAATATTTAACAGACGGTGGAATTTTAAAGTTGATAATCTTTCCATTAAAAAATATACTTCCTGAAATCGAATTCACAGTATCTGGAAGAATAAGATTTGTTAACTTTTTACAATCGTAAAATATTTCAAAAGGTAACTCTGTTGCAATTGATTTAGAAAGATCAACAGATTGTAAAAGCAAACATGCACGAAACATTCGACCACCAAGTTTTTGGACTTGTGGATCTAAAACAAAACTAACAAACTTACAACTACTAAAAGCTCCACAGTCCGAAATATTAACAATAGTTGGAGCTAATGGCTCATTAAAGTCTACGGGACATTTGATCAATGTCTTAAAATCACTAGAATACGCAATTCTTCGATAAATAACGATGTCAGGACAGTTACTTTTCAAAACTTTAAGTTCTGGTATGCAGGCTAAAGCACCAACTTCAATGGACTTAAGATTCCTAGGAAAAGTTAACTCAGTTATTTTAGTGAGGGCTAAGAAAAAATGTGGTAATAACTCCATGCAGTCAGAAAGTAAAATCGTTTTTAAATTTGTTCCCCAAAAATGATAAATTCCTTGAGGTACTTTGATCTTGGTCTTGGATAAATCAGCAATTTCGAGTTTCGAAAACTGAAATGCATGAGTATCAAGAATTTCAACTTTTGGACCTAATGTTATTGACTTGATCGCGCATTTATAAAATGATGAGTTGCCAATCCCAATGATTGTATCAGGCAATACGATTTCAGTTAGATTACATGAATAAAAGGCAAGGGAAGAGATAAATGTTACCTCACGATTGTTAATTCGATCAATAACTAACTTTGAAGAGAAATCTATCGGAATTGCAGAGGTTATACCATCCCCAATATGTATCCCGTCTTCGAATTCTTCATAAGTAATACTAGGAAATGTACTAGTCGCTGGAATTTAATTAGAGAAAATCGAAAATTAAATTGTCACTTTTTGATAAATATAACTGTCACTTTTGTATAGCTATCAGAGTTTCCAAATGAAAATGAAAGATCAAAATGAACTTATAAATAAAAGTGTATACAAAATTCGTGAATAAATGGTTAATTATACAAATCCGCCTTATAAATTACATCAAAACACTGTAAAGATAAATGGATATGAAGTTACACAGTATAATGAACATAACTTTTTAAAGGTTTTCCATCAAAACTCGCAATCTTGTTACTTCAAAAACAGAGTTGATGCAAACTATTCACTTGAAAAATAATGTTTTTCTATCATGCGCGAGATTGATGAAAGATGCATGATCAGAAACGAAACTTCTAAATACTATTCCTTATTATATGAGATTCCACAAATTCCAAATTTTTTTCATTTTCATCAAAGTTTTTATTTCACTGAATTTTCGAACTCATCACTTGAATCAAATGTTGTTGAATCGAATTTTTCCATTAATAACTTTAAAGGATTAGTAACAGTTTCTGGGAAATATAATTGGTGTACATTATATGCTTTGGCAAATAATTCAAAATATTGGAACTTTCCGATCGGCACTGTTGATAAATATTATTTTCCACTTATGCCAGTTTATAGTAATAATGTCAGTATCATTGATATGTGGATTCAACTACCAGATATTTCATTGATTAATCAATTAAATCCTTTGAATGAATTATGTTCATATATTTTAAGGTATAGATCTTGTTTTTCGTTGTTATTTCTATTTATATTAGCAATAGAAACATAATGATATTTATGATTTTGCCAATTCTTCAAAAGCATGATCGATGAGATTCAGGCATTTGAACTAAGTATATAATTAAATGTATTTATAATAAAAAAATGATGATAAAGGATGTTAATTTTTCGACATAAGTAATTAGATATTTTTTCAATCTGAACTTGTCCATCTCCAGTGTTGCCTTTGGTCCAATTGAATTTAATCTACCTTGAAAAAATATGCTTTTAATAGTGGAAGTACTATATTGGTCTTGCCGGGCCAAAATAGATATTATCTTTTGTTGAAACGGAGACTTTAAGGATACCTTCATTATCCGTGACCAGCATTTAAATTACTTATATATCCACTTTGTGCTCCCCAAACACGCAGTTTGTATCTTCCTGGTGATAATGTTGAGTTTTGTGGATAACCTTTATATGTAAATGATAGAGTTTCTGAAAAATTACTAATATAAATTGAACTTCTAAGATGATTGTTTAAATTAATATATATCATAAGTTTGAGTAAAAATAATGTGAAATATGAACATATTAGATAAGCAAGTACAAAATTATACTTAGATATTGATAACTATGCCTTTGAATAGTTTATCACAATTAGAAATTCATGTTAATACTTTTAGAAATGTTTATGAAATAATAATAACAGATATCATGTATAAAGGTAATGAAGCAAGTAAAGAATATTCTCTGTGCATGCAACTAGGATATATCTTTGGAATCAATGTTGCTATTGGAAGAGGTGTTCTTTCTGGAGGACATGTGGAAAGAACTCTTTTGAAATCAGTTCTTTTCATGAAATCTGGGTATGAATAATTAATATTTGTTTTAAGAATAGTATTTGATGGTGCTTCAACATTCAAGAGATAAAGACCACAATATTCTATTGATCCAATATCCGAAAATTCCAAAGAGTTCGAAACTAAATATCTAACCGATGAAGGTATTTTCAAATTTGTAATTTTACCTTCGCCAAATATCCAATAATCGAATGATATTAATGTATCTGGAAGAGTAAGATTTATCAGTTTTTTGCACTCATAAAATGTTTCATATGGCAATTCTGAAGCAATAGATTTAGATAGATCAACAGACTCTAAAAATGGACATGCACGAAACATTCGACTTCCAAATTTTTGGATTTCAACTTCAAGAGCGAAACTAACAAACTTACAGCAGCTCATAGCTCCACATGGAGAAACACTGATAACAGTCGGAGCTAATGGTTCATTCATGTAAACGGGACATTTAATTAATGTCTTAAAATCTCGAGAATATGCTATCCCTCGATAAATAACGATGTCGGGACAGTTACTTTTCAAAATATTAAGTTTAGGTATGCATGACAATGCACCATCATCAATGTACTTTAAATTTTTTGGAAATGTAAATTCAGTTATATTTGTATAGGATATGAAGAAATGTGGTAATTGTTCTAAGCAATCTGGTAATCTTATTGATAACAATTTTGTGTAGCAAAAATGATAAATTCCTTGGAATTTTTTGAGTTTCGTATTCGAAAGGTCAGCAAACTCAAGTTTTGAATCTTGGAATGCACAAGTTTCTATAATTTCTACTCTCGGACCTAACGTGATAGATTTTAATGAACAATTGTAAAAGGAATAGTTCAGAAAGAAGACATGAGTGAAAAGCATACGCGGAGATAAAAGTAACATCATGTCCTTCGATTCTGTCAATGACTAATTTTGAATTGTACTCAATAGGAATTGCTTGTGTTTTCCCGTCTCCAATATGAATGCCATCATTAAATAATTGATAAACAATATTAGGAGATGTAGTTGTTATTGGAATTCAATGAAACACTTTGAATTTTTGTCACTTTTATATATTCATATAAATTTTCAAAAAAATTGATTTAAATTTTCAATTTTTGTTACAACTTAAAAGAGTTCAGCAGTTTAAATGTATTACAATGAATATCAAAAGATGGTTTAAGTCGTTAGAAAAACAGGAAATGCAAGTTTGACATTGATAAGAATCAAGAATAGTTATGATGATTTTGCCATGACCTTTCCAGATGCCAGGAACATGAATGACATCTTCAAAAAGATATCCCGAGTGTTTTTTGAATGTATATTCTTTCGAAATGATGTTTTCATAAAACATTTCTGATGCATTGATCAGCCCTTGAGGAATTATTGCATAACAACTCAATGCCCACGAACATGAAAAGAATATACATTCACAAAATATTGAAAAGTGACATTTATGTTAAAATTCATTTTTTGTTAAATCTTAAACTTTCTATTTCTCCTTTCAATTACTGATAATTCAGGTGTTGAATATGATAACGATTTTTCGACACTTCTTAGTGCACCTAACACTCTTTCAGGTGAATATGTTATTCCATCAAGTTGTCAGACAATTCTTGGAGGTACTACTATTGATGAAAGTCCATTTAAATTTTGCAAAGACAAGATTACATCAATTAAATTTGCATCTGGAAGTAAATTAATATCTATTTGTTACTTCTGTTTTTCTCAAACATCATTAATATCTGTTGACATGAGTCAATGCAAGCAACTCCGAATACTTAACAACTCTGTCTTTTCTTCATGTTCCAAGTTGTCGAGTTTTCTAATGCCTCCTGAAATTACTGAGATTGCATCGGGAGCCTTTCAAAGTGTAACAAATTTGAAGAGAATTACATTGCCAGACACAGTTGAAACAATTCGTGGATTCAAACCTCCCTATGGTCGTGCTTTTGCTTATTCCGGAATTGAACAAATAGATATTTCAACAACTTCCAAATTGAAAATAATTGAATCCGATGTTTTTCTATCTTCAAAGCTGAGTTATTTTTATTTCCCAGAGTTTTGTACATCAGTTTCAGCATACGCATTTGCTGGATGTCCTATAATAGAGTTTTCTATTCACCCAAATAATAAAATGTTCAAAATTGACAAGAAGATTCTATATACAGGAGAAAACAATGAAACTTTATTTTGTGTCTCAGCTCTCACTACAGGAACTTTTGTAATTCCTTCTTTTGTAACAATCATTGGCGAAGCTGCAATGAGATGTGTTAAGGTTTCTAAAATTATAATGAATGACAAAGTGAAAACATTAAATTCTTGGTGCTTTGGAGAAACTTTGATTACAGAAATTAATATATCAAATAATCCCATCACATATATTGGTGATTCCAATTTTAATGGTTGTTCCCAACTCGAAACTGTTGTTCTTCCCAAAAGTTTACAAGGATTAGGTAATCAAGTATTTTCTTCTTGTTCAAAATTGAAAAACATTGTGTTACCGGAAGGACTTAAATCAATGAGAGGAACTGTATTTCAGAGCTGTGATTCCCTAACAAAGATTACACTCCCTTCATCGCTTGTTTCAATTGGTGATGGCGTTTTCGCATATATACCAAATATTGAAGTCACTTCATTAAGTTCTGAAATTGTTGTTTCTAACTCAGTTTTATACAAGGATAAAGGAGCTTCAATCATGGCATTTCTAGGCTCAGGAAATGGCGAAGATTTTACTATTCAATCATCTTGCACATCGATTGCCAATAAAGCTTTTGCATCCAAAAACATTGGCAAAGTTTTGTTCAGCGGTAATACGAATTTAGTTATTGGAGAACAAGCATTCGAAAGTTCTACAATAAAATCAATTGAATTACCACCAGGATTGACATCAATCAGCCAAAAGGCGTTCCAATTTTGTTATTCATTAACAAAAGTAGCATTCCTTGGGAATAGTCTAACATCGATTCCTGATTATTGTTTCAATCAAAACACTCAGCTGAGAACAATAACATTACCATCATCTATTGAAATGATCGGTATTAGTTCTTTTAGATACTGTACAAGTATTGAAGATATTGGATTGTCAAACTTAAATAGTTTGCAATCGATTGGTTCACAATCATTCAGTTTCTCAGGACTTAAAACAGCTAATCTTGGAAGATCAGTCATCTCTGTTGGATTATCTTCATTCTATAAATCTAAGATTTCTTCATTGAGCATTTCTTGTGATATTGAACAAGAACTATGTTCAGGTTGTGATTTATTGAGTACATTGAATATTGAAGAAGGTGTCACCGTCATCAAACAATATTCATTCTACGAATGCAGATCATTGTCTATCTTTACCATTCCGAAAACACTTCAAACAATCTCTGCATTTGCTTTCCAGTCTTGTGATAGTTTGACAGAAATCACCCTTTCTCTGAACTGCAATCTGAACACCGTTGTTGGAGGCCTACTTGATTGAATTTAATTTATTCCAGCTTGCTGACTGTAATATTCACTCCTACAATCGTTTTTATTGAAGTTAAAAGATTTTGAACCAATTTGTTGAGAATAGAATTAATTTATTTGAGTCCTACTGGGAAAGATTTCACTCTTTATTGTTGATGAATTTTTAAATCAAGATTGAAGGTGCTGAAAATATTCTGAATGATTTTTTCTGATTGTCAAAGGCAAGAGAATTTGAGAGAAATCCTGACTTCTCATTTCACTTCTGACATCATATCTTAAAAATTACTATATAAATGATAATGAATATGTTTTTCGCTACCAATATTTTCAAAAGAAAAATTGAAAATATAACGTCTAGAATTGAAAAAAATTCAGAACATAAAAATGTATGGTTCTAAGGAAAGTGAGAACGTGGAAGATATTATTAATGAAATGAAAGCGCAAAGTTATCACTACAAAAATTCGAAGGAATACAATTGGCTGATATCAATTTTCGAAGAAAGACCAAATCATATGTTTTTAAAGTCGTTATGTATGTTTTTAGCAAACGTGGCAGATGTAAAAATTACAAATCAGTATTACTTGCGGAAGGAAACTTGTTACTTCTGGATACATAAGTATTACAACGAAATTCAAAATTATCTTTCAAACCATACGATTACAATTGAGCTTGAAAATTCAGAGAGGATCTATCTAGTTCCTGATGCAGGATTTCATATTAATCAGATACAACCGATGACTATATCAAATAATTGTGTGGTTATTAAGCACTGCGTCAAAAAATAGCCCTTAACTTGATAGTTATAAGTTGTATCAAACAGAAAATTTTTATCAATTTCAGATATAATTGAACGAAAGAACTTTTTCAGAGTATGTATTTGTATTATTTTTATGAAAAAATATTTTTACTTGTAATTTTTAAATAATAAGTTAAATTTAAAAGAGTTGACTTTATATGTAGCATAAATTTACTTTTCCATGAATAATTTTTCATACTATGATTCATAACTATGCTATTTTAAAGAGAAAGCTCCATTCAAAGTGAATCAAAACTATAGTATTTAAGTAATTCAGACATGTTGGTTTTGGGAACATGTCCGCACATGAATAGCTACACCATCATAATTTATTTGCGTAATAATAGATAGAAACAGAAATTATGAGAGAAAACTGGAAAAAATTATCATTTTTAAATTTCTCAGTTACAATGATGGGCATTTAACTTAGAAGATGAACAGGGATATCATTGAGTTGATACTCTCCTTATAGGGAAGAGTAACTCCATCCAACTTATTCACTGAAAAATCAGGACTAAAATTTTTGGAATTTTCTGAATAGAAAAAGTGACTGTTTGATTTCATTTAAAGTGTAAATGGACTAGATAGCACTATTAAATTATTTTATCTCTGAATGCAATTGAATCACGATTAGAAAACTGCCAGATTAATGATCGGTATAAATAAATTCAACTCAGATTCAATTTCAATTAGATCACGATCAAAAAAATTGTATTAAAATTCATCTAAAAACAAAGGCAATCAAAGGTACTTGATTTCATATCGGAATATTTTTTTCAATCATTATTATTTATGAGTTCTGTTCTCTTCCTGGTTGATATCATTGAATACTTTGCTAGTAACAAAAAGAAATCACAGTTGCCAAAAGGTGTTGTTGAAAAATTCTACTTCCAAGGCTCCCATGGAATTCCAACTTTCAGATTATTAAAATACAAGAAAGAGAGGATAATTTGGATAAGAGGAACAAAGGTTACATCTTGGAATGATCTCTATATTGATTTTAATGGCTTCGATATTCCATTCCTTGATGGATATTGTCATCAAGGATATTTTGAAGGATCGTACAAAGTTTATGATATGATTTCATCACTTCTCAAGAAAGATAGAAAGATCACTTGCATTGGTCACTCTCTTGGTGGTGCATGTGCAACAGTTTTAGCAATGATTTTAAAGTATCAAAAAGGTTTCACAGATGTTCATGCACTTACAATTGGTACCCCTGGTATATTAAGTAGTAATTTAGCTACTAAATGCCAAGATTTTGTTACAACGTTTGTCAGACAAAAAGATCCAATACCAAGAATGTTTAATTGCAAGAAGAAAATATACCAAGTAACAAATTACAAGCTTCCTGAGAACTTCGCTCAATGTGAGGAAGATACAAATGATGAAAAATCTTATTCTTCATCAGATGAACCAGTAAATATAGAAAACAATGACGGATCAATTGGTGATAGAGTTCCTGGTAGAGTGATCGTCATTGAAAAGACAAAGAATGGACCTAACTTAAGAAAACCAACTCCAGATGATTTTGTTTTTAAGAAGAATATGAGATTTATGTCTCATTGCCATCTTAAATACCACAGAGATTTGCATCTTTTCTATGGAAAAGGTGTAGAAGATGAAATGAACGAAGCTGAATAAAATGAAACAGTCAACCATGAAAACTATGCGTTTTCTAATGGTAATACTACATATGCAACGATCGGAACTGCTGGTCTTGTTGCAACAACAACGCTTGGATTCACTTTGGGACCTGTCGGAGCTGTTATTGGTGGAATTGGTACCAGTATCGCATTTGCTTTCCAAAAATATAGGAGAAGCAAGTCTAAGATACATGGTGAAACACCAGGAGATGGTTCCGAAGAAACCGATAACTAAATAAAAATTACGTTTTTTATAGAGTATGTTTTAAATGATTTATTATTTTTCAAAATAGTAAGAAAAAGTATATTCAATTGTTCACTCATATGAAATACGAAATCAATAAAAAAATTATCGAAATTTGTTCATAGAAAGTAAAAACTAGTAGGTGTAATATATGTGACAGACTTAGTATTAATAATATATAGTATAAAATTTGGAGTATTAAAAAATTATGAATAAAATTTTTGAAATTAAATTGAACTTTTACCTCTGAAGATCATCTCAATATGATCCAGATGCAAGGTTCATTGTTGCAGGATTTGCCGCGCCAGCAATATCCTGATTGTAAGAAATGTAATAAGCATGCTTACAATTAGAGTCTACATCGATAATTCCGAGTTGACCTGGTTTTAATGTTGAAAGTTTATCGCGATCGGTAAAGAATCTGATCTCGTTAATACCAAAAGGAACGTTAGGAAGGGAAAATTCATTGTCCTTGCGGGTAATTTCTATTTTTGTAAGAACTTTTCCGTCATTGTGCTTTGTTAAAATGTTTGGTATCGTGCAAAAATAGTTTTGAATATTGAAAATTTTGTTGTCTGGAGGTGAATTCATTCTTTCTCTGCGATATTGATCAAGCTCATCCTTTGAATCATTATGGATGATGTTACTCGCTAGTTGTAATTGCAAAAGCGGAAACATCATGAAAAATTTTGTGCGAAAAAAAAATTATCGTCCTGAAAATTTTATAAATGATAGTATTGCCTTGTTTCAGATAAATACAAATATGTTACTTAGAACAATTTCGTTGTACGAGGAATTTCTTATAAAATCAATCAAAATTCAATAAAAATTGGAAATTTATGCTAATATTAGCATATGAATATAAAAATGAATTTTCCAGATTGTGCTGAAGCTGAATTTTTCATGAAAATCTGAAATTAAAGAATTTCGAAATCAAATGAAAATAATTTATTTAAGCAATGTTAAAGATATGGTCATTTAACTAATATGTGAATGGTGTTTATTTTTCATGTTCATATGTTCTGGAGAAACACTTCAGATATATTTTATCGAAATTGTTATCTACTAATATATATGCCTTATCTATTAAATGGTTAATTATAATGTTTCGAACTTGAAACAGAAGTTATTGGTCATTTTAACAAGATGATGCAAAGCAATGGAGAGAATACAGTTAATGAATTAATTAGTTTTTGTAATAATACATCATGGGTGTGTACATATTAAATGTAGATCTCAGAAAACGCAGAATCGATTGTTTTCAGAAATATGAAAAGCAAAAGTAATTCATAATGGGATCATTGAAAATTAATATAAACATCTGCTATTTAGACGTGGTTAGGATGGTATTTGAAAAATAGCATAAAATTAACATAATGATAGGAGATAAAATATAAAAAATAAACGATTTTATGAGGAGAAGGATGGAAATATTAATTTATCATATATGCAAAATACAGTTCGTATGAAGAGGTTGGATAAAAACAATAGAATTATCAGATTAATTTAGTCAAAGCGTTGAATTTTGATGCGATCATGAATTTCTTGTTATTTCCAAGTCACAATTATTGTCTAAAGTAATAGTATCAAGGTTTGGATTATGCACGTTTAATTTTGTATTGAAAAAAATCGAAAAGGTATTTAGTCAATCATATGCTCAAACATCAAACAAAAATTTTATAAAAAATGTTTGGTGTCAATAGTACTGCAGATAATATATTTTATATAAACGTCATCTGATTGAAAAGTGATTTTCAATGTCCACAGTTATTTATAAAATTTGAAAATTTTAATGAGAGCCTAAAATTAAAAAGATGAAAATAAATTTTAATCTTATTTTTCGGTTTTCAATGAGATTTTGGCAATTGTGTTCTCAATTAATAAATTTAACCTTTATATCTAATATAAGATATAAAGCAGGATTTATCCATTTTTTAAGAAAAATTTTTATCAAAAATTTTTGATGCAAAATCAAATCATCACCCGTTAATTTGATTTTGACTACATATCATATCCTTAGTAATAATACCATAGAAAAATCCATGGACTAACGAGCTATCAAAAAGTCACTCTCTATTTTCAATTTTTGAGAGGTAACTAGGTCGAGGAATTTGAGAGCAATAACCTACCAATCAATTATTTCTTTTCTTCATGGTAAGAATCTACATCCGCTTCTCTGGTTTCATCATCCGCGACCCAAGAATCAGAGCTAATAATAACCTCTCATTCACACTCATCAACAACGCTACAGGCACACAAAGAACAACAAAGTTCACAATGAAGGAAGCCAGAACACTCAGAAAGTATTACCACATCGATATTGACTCCTTCAGCACACATACATTCTCCGTTCTTCTCAATAAGCACACAGGCTTATTCGGAAAACAACAGGTTGCAAGATTGGACATCCCAACCTTTGTTCTTCCAATGGACAAAATGAGCATGAACTACCTCCAGATGAATACTGGTAACGTTAACAATCCACCAATCATCTGCAAGTGCGTTCTTCACCTCCAAGATAGAACCCAGCCATTCAAGGCTCAAGCAATCAAGCCAACTCTTCCACAGGCTGATTACGATGATGTCTGCGAAATTGGCTTCAACAACGAATTTGCTGACTACAATGACTACGAAGCTCCATTACTTATCTAAGTTTGTTGTTTATATTATATTATCATGTATAGACTTGTTATATTAAATATTATATCTATCCATTTAAATTTACCTCTTGTTTTTCCCCATAATCAAGTTTTAGATTCAAGACAAAAATTTCTTGTTGGAATCAATAGTTTTCGGTATTTGTGGCATGATTTCAGCTTTGATGTAGTATGATATGTCTCCATTTTGAGCCCTCAAATTGTAGAGGAACTTGGATCAATAACGTTTTATGATGAATTAACCGTAGAAAATGAATTTTAGTAAATAGAAAATTATTTACATGAAGTTGTTATATGATCTATCAAGTTTAATTAGTGTCTCTTGATAATATTTGCAATGACCAACAATACTGTTCTAAAGAAGAGAATTACTTTAGGATTGAAACATATTAGCTCTAAAATGAATACTCCTCTCTTAGTTTTGAATTGTATGAAAAACAATAAAATATCGCAAATGAACAAGAGAAATGGGAAAATCAATTCGCGAACTTTAGTCTCATTGAGCAGATAGTTAGATATTATGGTTTCTTTTTGCACAATTCGGTTAAAATATGTGGTCAATCCGGAAATCAGTGCAAAAAGATAAGCAACATTAACATAAATTAGGGATTACTTCGTTTACTATTTGAAAATTTTGATATTGATCGAGTAAATCGTGAATAGAATCATAAAATATCAACAAAATAATCATGAATTAAAAAAGTTGAAAAAAATTATATAATTGATACACTTGTATATATATATACGAATATGCTTTTAAGCAGACTTAACCTCCCAAGCGCGGATGGAGCCGTCGTTGTAGCCAGAGTAAAGGACGGAACCATCGGCAGCCCAGGCGAGGCATGTGCAGTCTGGTGTGCGGCCGGCATTGCGCTTGCCCTCACGCTTGAAGTTTGGCTGGACAAGGTCGATCTGTTGCTTGGCACCGATATCCCAAACGGCGATGCCTTCGTATGTAGCAGCGCAGATCCAGGCCTGTGTTGGGCAGGCAGCGACGGCGTGGACTGGAGATGGGGTTGTGAAGGAGATTGTCTTAGCACCGTTTTCTGTGAGCCACATGACAACCTTGCGGTCTGAGCCACCTGTGATGACCCACTTGCCATCTGGTGTGAAGTCAACAGATGTGCAGCGGCCATCGTGAGCCTTGAACTCCTTGATGAGCTTGGCTTCCTTCTCGATGGACCAGATGTAGACCTTGCCATCCCAGCAGCCGACAGCGATGACGAGTGGGGAGTTCTCATCAGCCATTGGAGCGCAGGCAACAGATGTAACCCAGGAAGAGCACTGGAGTTCAGCCTTGTTTTCACCAAGGATGTTCCAGATCTTGACCTGGTTATCACGGCCGACGGAGATGATACGGCGGTTGCATGGTGAGAATGTGACGCCTAAGACATCCTTCTTGTGGCCAAGGAAGAGCTTCTTTGTTGTGCGTGTAGCGAGGTCCCAAAGACGGAGTGTGTTATCCCAGGAGGATGTAAGAAGGTGGGAAGCATCGCGGGAGAGGGAAACATCGGAAACGAAGTGGTTGTGGCCAACAAGGCGTGTGAATGGTGTAGCCCACTGTTCCTGTGTGCGGTTGAGCTTCCAGACAAGAGCTGTCTTATCGCGGGAAGCGGAAACGAGGACGTTGTGCTCGCCATCAACTTCGATGGATTCGATAGCAGCGTTGTGGCCAACGAATGTAGCGCGTGGAGCGAAGTGAGCGGACTGTGTCTCTTCAACTTGCTCAACTTGTTCAACTGGTTGTTCAGCAGACATTTGCAGAAAGGAAGGCCAAGTCGATTATTTTTCCTTCAATTATAATTCATAAAATAAGATTAAACCATTGATCATAAAAATAAAATCACTGCTTGATTACATATTAATACCCAAACTTTTTAAAAAACTTTCTTTTTTATATGAAGATATTTTAAGGGTGCACCCGAATGTACGTTTATTTGAGAGGAGGAGGATTCCCCTCTCAATTTTGAGGGATTCGTTAGTTTATTTTCTCGATGAATATGCAATAAAATTTGATTTTTACCTTATCAATATACTTCATATAATATACACATGTTCATGTAAAAACTTTTTTCCAAAATCCTCAGGAATTAAGGGATTTTTGAATTTTAAGAATTTTTTTCGAATTTTTTCGAAAAAAATATTTTCAGAACAGCCTTAACGGCTAAGATTTAGGAACAATGTTAAGTATCAAAAAGAAAGGAGGTCTGATATAGACAACATATATCGTTGAAGGTTGAAAAAATCTCTAATATTTGAGCCCAAAATTTCAAATTTTATTTTTTTGAAAAAAGAGGCCACCCGTATGTACGTTTATTTGAGAGGAGGAGGATTATATTTTTGAAAGGGTGAAACATTATGAATATGTTAATTATATAATAATATGTATTATTATAAAAAAGAAAAAATAAAGCACGTTAAAATTTTTTTCTTGATTTTTTACAAAATCTACTTAGAATTATGCAAAATATGACTAAATAATTATAAATTTCAAGTTAAATTTTAATTTTGATAAATAATTTAAATTTCAAAATATCAAGTTTAGTTCGACTATGTATGTAGTAATTCCTCAATAAAGTGCCAAAACCCTATTAAAATATATGAACATTTTCAACATTTTAATGTTTTTATTTAAAAATTTGATGGAATATGAGCTTCAAACAATTATTATGTAAATAAAAATAATTAAATATATGTATTTATTCGTATTACAACCGTAGTAAGTCGATTCTTCCTTTCTTCTACTGAGTTTTGAATTTGATTTCGAATTGTAAAGAGATTCAAAGGGAAAATACTAGCGGATAAAAACTACCTCCATGAAAGGGTCATAATGGAGTTAAGTTGTATTTTTTGATATTTTTTGCTTTTCGAGCCTAAATAGGTAGCCAAGATAATGCCTAAAAATAAGGTTCTAAATTCTGAAGTTTACATGATCCTCTCGTGTGCACCCTTAATAGAAAAATTGTTAAAATTAAAAAAAAAAAAAAAAAAAAAAAGGTAGTGGGGCCTCCAGGCGCGTTGCGCCCTCTAGCCCTGAAGATGTTTAGTATAATGAAGTTTTTTTTTTTTTCTTGGGGTGGCCTTCCAGGGGCTGCGCCCCTTCTAGCCCACAAAAAGTTTTGTCCAACGGTAAAACTTTTTGTTTTTTAAATAGTATAACTTTGTCCGGACAAGTAAGGGTCTATCGTCGCTACAGGAAAAGTTACAGGCGTTCCAAGGAAGTATACTTTGAGAAGCCTTTTCCCCATTATAGAATGAGATAGGACGGTTATTTTACAAAACTGACAACACTTTGACCGAGTAGTTTTGTTGTCTGAACAAAAAGTGTCATATAAACATCTGTCAAAAACCACTTTTTAACTTCACTTTAAAATGCACGTAAGCTACGTAAGAATATACGTAAGAGGAAGGGAGATTGAAACATCCAATAGTAAAAACTGACACCACAACAACAGTTGCAACAACAAATTGATGAATGACCCCACTATGTTGCAACAAATGTCAAGCAACCCTATGCTTTTAAACCGAGTTATTGGTGCACAGAGTGGAGGTTTAAGAGCGCGGCACTTTTAGCGAAAATGGCAGGCTATGGTGGAGCTGCAGACGGAACAGCTTATAACCCTCAAAGTCAAATGAATTTGAGTTTCACTCAAAAAATCAAATAACAGATGTCAAAAAGTCAAACATAGACATACAGAAAACAAATAAGTGAAAACGAAAAGAAACTAGAATATGACAGACACACAAAGAAACTCAATGAGTTAAATGTAGAGAAAAAGAAGAAAGAAGAACAACTGAAAGAACTAAGTACAGAGAGAATATGCGAAAAAAGTGTCAGAAAAGCAGCAGAAGTAGCAAAAATGGAACAAGATGTTATAAATTTGAAAAAACCATACTACTCAATATAAAGTACTGAAAGATGAAGAAATAAAACAAAAAAGCCCTGAAGACATATATGGATAGCGATGAGTATAAAAAAGAAGTTGAAGCAAATGTAAAGGCAGAAAAACTTTACAGTTTGCAAAACCAAACACCGTACAGTATGAAAACTTAGCACAAAAGAAGTAAAAAATAACGAACGCAGCCATGCAAAAGACAATGAAAAGCGCAGAATATATAAAAGCTAATAATGACTGGTTAGATGCCCAAGCCAACGCCAAAGCAGCCCAACTTATAGGGTCAATAAGGACAAAAATACAAGCGGATGAAGACAGTTCAAATGAAGCTTTAATGAATGCTGACTTTAAGAATGCCTTCGAAGCTCTTCATAGTAAGGTGAAACTAGTGAACGACTTCTCATCTGGAAAGAAACTGAAGTCTGAAGGTTTCGACAAAGAGTTAAAAGAAGTAGCACAAAATATGACGAAAATAACAGATGCAGCAACGAGACAGGCAGTTTCAAAGTGCCTATGACGCCGTTAGAGCAACTGTTGTGGAAAGTCAAGAAAAAGAGTTACAACAGACCAAAACAGACCTAGTAAATGCTTTCTTAAGACGAGTCAGTAGGACATTATGCTGCAGATGGAACATATGTGCAGCTGGTGGAACTTATATACCAGCTGGTGGCTTATATACTAGCTATGTGGAACTTATATACACCAAACCCTCCAAGAGAAGCACCTGCACCAGGACTACCTAAAACATTTACATCGTCACATGGACACAGACACAGGCATGCACAGAAACAACAACCAACACAACAACCAACAGTTCAAAACCCTGCACAGCAACAACAACCAACAATTCAAAATCCAGCACAACAACAACCAGAGCAAGCACAACAACAACCACAACCAGCACAACAACCACCTCCACAACCAGCACAAACAGAGCAAGGACATAAAAGAAGTAGAGAACAAGGAAACCAAGAATTCTTAAAAATGCTTAAGGAAGGTTATGGTTACCCAGATACTCTTGACTTTAGTGACAGATATAAAGAAGCTATTAGAAAGTTCAAGGAAGGAAATACTGACCCGAACCTATTTAGCTTTATGG